TGCACTTACTTTAGCCATCTTTTTAATTAATAACGCAAATGAGAAAAAAAAAACTGAAATCTGATGTTAACCTCATTTAAAAAATTCAAAACTAAATTAGAACTTTTAACAATAGGAAATTGTCACGGTTTTGTGACCGTGATCACGAAAAGGTGGTATTCATTTAGTGGTTTCCCATTTAAACGATTTTTTCTTGATAAGTGAATTAAAAGTATTTTGATTACACCTGATTGCCAGTGCCAAAATCGAAAACAAGGGCTCTTGAATTTTTCGAGTAATTGTTTGAAAGTGGTCACAACAATTTCAATTGTGCTGTGCATTGTAACGAGGTCGCATCGCAACGTGATCAACACCGATCAAGAGATGTCTCTTACAGGCGCTCAAACGGCTATTGATGGAAATAAGCAGGTCGTGACTATATCGTTAGTTGACGTTCGTGTGACGCTTTTGCCTCTCAGTTCGGTCGAGACAGGAACCAGAGTTTTTTTTTCACTTTAAATACCTACTCGGAAACGTGGGACCAAAATGTTTATCGACTATTCCCACCAGGCGTGTCGTGCTATGATGATATTTCAGCGTAAATAATAAACTCGTTTACCAAATTCAATTAGGTTCTCAGGTCGAAATGAGGTGAACTGAGCTGTTGAATAACCAATTCAGCCCAGATCATATATCAAGCAGTGAAGATGTTGCGATACTACACGCTACCGTTGTTTCAATCAAATATCAAAGGTACGTATCTCGAGCAGACAGGTATTACGATGGTTCTAGAGCATTATCTAGCGTCAAACCACGGTGGTTTTTTAATATTTTGGCATATATTGAGCAATTACTTACGAAAGATGAGTGGAATCCCATCAAAGTGAAGGCGAATAACATGAACTCGTGAGCCATTTTGAAACGCTATTGCACCATAGACGATTTGTCTTGCGTTCCTGATCTCCTACATCTGTTAGCGAGGTGAATAAATGATAGATTGCCTCTTTCTTCCGGTATGAACGCCTGTGGCACTTTTGGTCTTCGTTTTCTGTCTCCGAATAGCTTAGAAAATTAGGATAGAACAATGAAACTGAAAGGTTTCGGCACAGCCCTGACTTAACAATGTACTGAAGATTTCAAATGACCTTCCGTAATTTGTTTCAACTAGGCGTGGCGGGGGCTTTTCCCTGTATGACGTATTTGTTTATTTTCGAATTAGAAGATTTGGAGCGGCTGATGTCAAGATTACACTGCACAGCTACCAAAAGAGAAGATTATTCTTTCTTGTGATCATGGAAAAAAAGGCCTTTAGCACATGGGGCACGACAATTTTGTTACTCAACAAGTGAGTCTATAGGAAGTCAACTGTAGCTTCTTGCGTAACAAACTTTAAAACAAAGGAAACAAACGAATTTTTAAAAAGAATTGATACAAAAAATTTTACTCGCCTGCCAAACCAATTCTCTAACATCCTCTCCCATCCCCTCCCCTGAGAGTATCCACTAACAAACTATGACCGAAATGACAAATCGACTATGAGTTGGAAGGGAAACAGCGTGGCTGCCGAAATACATTTACGTATTTTCCTTGCAATCACTGTAACTATGATAGGGCATTTATTTGAGTTGGCGAAAGTGCAAACATCACAATTTCACTTTCATCGCGCAAATTATGCGACGGACATACCATTGCCCCCAATTGCCACTTTTCTCTCTTTTTCTGTTTCAGAGTCTTTAATTTTTCGTTTATCAAGGGCATCCTTTTGTTCATCTGAGGGACACGAATGTCGTACTAATCCCCGCTTTTCTTAACCATCCATTTCCTGTTTTGGTTTATTTATTCCTCTTTGGTGCTCGTCGACCTTGGCAAACCAGCGATAATAAAAAAAGATGATGAAATGTCAAGATCAGGCTTTAAACTTCCGGGAATACTGAAATGTTCATTCGCATCCCTTGTTTGGAATGTCACGCAACGACACTGGAAGACCGTTGCGTGACAAACTCAGATAGGACTAAGGGGGTAAGTTTCTAAAGAAACTGTGGTGCTGCGTCGGTGGAAGACTATAACAGGGTAATTTAGTATTATCAACTGAGCTGACAACGCAAATTGGCCACTGTAGAGCTCATCTCACTGGCTGTGCGAAGTTGATTTCGGTCTGTGATTGATTCAAGTTATCAGCGCCATGTATAGATACAATTCACACAAAGAATGCTCATAAAGTACACGGGGGAGGGGAGAGTCGACTGAGTAAATCAGATCTTTAATTTTTTGACCCCTGAGAGTGACTGACGTCCGATCTCCTCTTAGAATATCTCCCCGGAATCAAACGTTTTGTGAATAAAGGAAATGATCACCAACTAGAGGAGGTCTTGATTGTTAAACAAGTTCCCCTCGTCAGAACCATAGGAAATGTATAGAGAACAGTGTGGAGAATATGCATACTGATGTTAGGGTGTGGAGCGTTAATAGGAACGTTTCCAATAGTCCACTTCTCAGTGAGTGCATGATTAAACATAGCCAACCTTTCTTTGACAAAAAAACTATAACCCACCCCACTAGCCTACGTGTAGCCGTACCCTCCTCCCCCCCCCGTGAAACGGAAGCAAGGTAACGTAAACGGAAGCAAGGTAACGTCTACGCAAGCCTGACACCGATCATATTCCGTGACGTCACGCTAATTTATGCAAAATAATGTTCATTTGATAAAATTTTTTTTGCAAGGTGGCACGTGTTAGCGTGAAGGTTATCAAGATAAACAACAACACTGAAGTGAATTCATTTTCCATTTTTCGGGTAAATTTGCGATTGAGTGTCCGATTTCAAATATATATTTTGCTTTAAGGATATAGGAAAAGACTGTGAGCAATTTTTGGCATAGAGTAAGAGGAGGACGATGTTCAATTAGCATCGCGCTTACGAAACTAGATTTCAACGTCCACGCGGTTTCTGCTTGCATTTGTTTTCAGTGCCACGGTCGACGAAAAAAGATGGATCGTTTGCCGCAGAGTCTCAAGGCTTTTACAGATTTCTTTAAGGGATAGTTATGCTGCGAGTATGAAGAAAGAGCGACTCTTTTCTCAGTCGAAAGAATCGCTGCAAGAAACAACTAACCCTAATTTAAGTGACTAAACGTCCGGCAGCCGGACACTTTCTTAACAGCTTCGTAGCACCGTTCGCAAAGAGACCGAAAATTGAAGGAGGACAATCCTCTCGGCCCAAGTACATTAAGATAGCGCACCTGGTCTTCTGTGAGAGCTTTAACGGGCGGCACAATAGATATAGTGATCGGTTTCTTCTAGAGAAGAGAGGCGATAGATTTACGCCATTGGATTTGTACTTATATTGGTTATCCCGTGTATTGGTGTTAGATTAATTCAGTGTTATGTTTAACTAAATTTAAGTCATGAGAAACGCATCATGAGCAAAACTAAAAGTGCTTGCACTTTCTCACATCCTCCAATGTCAGCAAAATTATTAGACAATCAAGAGCTAAAACCTTATGAAATGAAGGAAGTAAGTATCTAGAGAAACTGTGGTAGTGATTGCATGATAATTCTGTTGGTTCTATTAAATGAGTTAATAACGCAAAGAGTTTCTAAGCTGACGTTTTGAGCGTTAACCCATCGTCATGGCGAATCGCTGACACGAAATTATTCTAAAACCCTATCACTGGAAATTGATGATCATTACGTCAAATTTTTGAACGCAAATTAAGGCTGCATGTTCAGCAAAGAGTGAACATACTTTTGAATCATGAAGAATAATTGAGGTTTACAGATTTTTTTTTCTAAGGGCAAAAACGTTTGGCAGTGACTGCTTTTAACTTCTTATTTTTGTTGAAAGAAAATCATGCTCTAACTGATGCAAATTTTTTTTCCAAATTTTTTGATGAAATTCAGCACTCCACGCTTCCCACATAGAACCTCTAACCATAAATGGTTTGTTTTACTCGATCACGGTGAATCAAGACATGACTTGGCAAGAACCCAAGGCTAAGATATCAATTTCGTCACTAGGGATATCGATGCGCTGAGAGAAGGTGATATCTATCCGTTGGCCGTGAATTGATGAACTGAAAGCCATGTGAAAGTCATAAAGAATGGACAGATCGAGATCGTGAGGCGTACGTTGCACGGCCAGTCGAAAACTGTATCTCTTTCTTGTCTTGATCCGAGAAATAATTAATAATTATCCCTCTCCAATAATTCTGTTGACAATGAAAAACGTCAGAAAGCGGCAGCGGTGTTTGATTGGCCAAGAGAATTTAAAGCATGTCAAGGAAACAATGATTCTTTAGCTGATATTTTTGTCGGTGCTTAAACTGTAGACACGTTTGGGGTTTGTGTACGTGGAAACTATATATCCTCTTGCATGATTCAATGCATAAAAACCCGTTTGCTTTTGGTGATCGATGGAATAGAATAACACCAAAGAAAACCTAGTCCGTAAACTCAGTAAAAAGTTATATTAGAATTCTAGTCAAAATAAGAAGTTTATTGTTGGTTGAATCTAACATAAGCTTTAATTTCCGTGCTCGGACATCTCAAAGAACGATGTTCAAGTTACAAAAATCCGACACAATTAGACACAAATACCAAAAATACCAAAAAAGGTCCAAATAGGGGAACATGTCGGAAATCGGCTCCTTAAACACTTACCGGCTCACGTCTTAGGGTTATTTGATAATAAGGTTGAAACAAGGTAAGGTTATTTGATAATAAGGTTGAAACAAGGTAAGGTTATTTGATAATAAGGTTGAAACATAGGGTTAAGTGGCGAAAATAATTGAAAACGTCTTAATAAGGAAATGAATTTTTGGAAAACACATTTGCATTTTTCAGCAAGGCTGAGATTATGAAACGCGGACGTGAGAAAGTTTCAAATTCTGCGTTGGAGGTTAACCTTGCTACAGATAAGCCCAAACACAATTTGGCAGGATTATGATACTTGGACATCTTTTCGTCAATTTCCGCTCTCTGCGTGCGCGGAGGTGTGATGCATTGATTATATAAACCACTGAAGAACCAGGGAGTGCCACTTTAGTTTTTCGTCAAGCTGTGGGATCGTTGGTCATCAAACTAGTAATCTCGACTTCAAGTAAACAAAATTGGTAAGGTGATTATTTCACTAACAGTTTAGTCTTGCATGCATGAAGCGGTTTTAGCTATGTCTGGTTTTATTTTATAATTCTTTTTCATCAATTCCATCGATCGAGGCAGTGGTTTCAATCTTGCATATATTGCTAATATTGAATCTCAACCACACCTGATGAAAAGAAGGGGCTCGACTCGCTCAGGGGTATACATCAGACGAGTTCTATGTTCATTAAAGGTGTGCAAGATGATGCATAAATTTTTTTGCCCGTCCCATCAGATAGTTCACAATAGTTTGCCAAAAGATTTTGAAATATCTATATTTAAAAAGCCACAAACATATTGTTCTGTTTGTGTAAGTCCTTTGCGTGACTGAGTAGGGAACCGTTGTTTGTCTCTGTTATTGTCTTCTAGTTGTCTGTATTCTTATAAGATCATTTATATCCTGACAGGTTGATCAGTACTGAGGCTAAAGTTTATCGCCTCTCAACCGAGGATGGGCCTACAGATGATCAAGACAGTTTTGCTCCTTTGCATAGGCTTGATTCTCTGTGACGTATATGCAGGTATGAACTTTTGAATTTTGTGAAAAGCATTTGCCATATTTCATCATAAAAATTGGTCTTTGTACCGAGTGCATTTTTTGTATCAATAGTTTGGCCAAGGAAAGTTTGCCGAAGCTCAACGAACACGCTTATGGTGATCAGATCACGAATGTCGGCAAGTTAAATTAGTCGCAAAACCGTAAATGTAGTACAATCGAGTTTCGCCGAAGAATTGAAAGCAAGAGAGTGACAGTGCTGAGTGATTCTCGGTCTGAATGATAATCATTTTGTAGTAAAAGATTGGTAAACATTGTTATGATGGTGCAAGCATGTGCGTCCTTCAAAGTCGTTGTTCACTCTTGTCAAACAAAGGCTGGGAAGAAGACTAGCATTTCACCTGAGTAAGCGATACCAAATCGATTCAGTGGTCAAATATCTGCGCATGTGTGAACATTAATAGGCCTCAGTTTTGTAGCCACTGTTCAATCTAATCACTTATCTGGCGTGACGAGACCAAAAACAGTGGTTGGACTGAGGAAGACTGACGTTTTCCCTGAGCCCACGGGTTTGAAATTTCCTATCTCTATGGGAATGACTCACTACAGACAACAGAATTTCTGCATAAATGATCGACATACCTGCGTTATACTTTGTATTTTAAGCGGCTAAATATTTAGTGGTTTAACTGGTCAGGTTGTTTTAATCCTTTTACACTCGAGATGTCTTTAGTAATTCCCCTTACTGTCTGCCATACTAGTCTTAAGATGTTACTTTGGAGAATTTTGATATTGATCAACCACCATTCCTCTAATGATTGGTTTTTGTTTTAATTCTCATCACTTTTTTGCTTAATATTTTTATGATATGGTAAGGAGAAATTCTGTCTTGGTATTTCATGGGAATTAAAAAAAAGAAAAAAAACGAGCAGTTAATAATAAGCTTCTAAATCCTTCCCTGCAGAATTCCCGTCCCGTATCAGGTACGAATCTTTGGGTTGTTACAGAGACAACCCAGATATACGGATACAATCTTTGGAGGGAATGGACAGTCTCCTTAACGACAGCTATAGGCTGAGAACTGATGCTATACAAAAGTGTGCCATGGCTGCCTTGGTAAGAGGATTTACAGTGTTCGCAGTTCAAGATGGCGGCATGTGTGTTAGCGATGAATACGCGTATTTATCCTGTAAAGATGCAGATAAATCAGAAAACTGTAAAAGTGACGGAAAAGGAGGAAATATGGCTAATCAGGTCTACTATCTTAATTCAACACTGAAAGGTATGGATCGTTATTTGAGAGGAAAAGGCTGTTTACACCATCTGCATATCATTTCGCACGATATTTAAAATCTGTTATTATAAGAGGTCGCTGAGAAGATAAAATAAAGTTAGGATGGATCCAGGAATTTTTGATTGGGGGCGGGATTTTTTAGGCACTTAGGGTTTTTTTTCCTGCTCGCGCTAGAGCCTGAATAAGCTGAGAAACAAATTAAGAGAAGTAAATTTTGAAGACTTCATATTGAGTAGTAATATCCGGTCCTGTCGGTGTGACAATTTTGGTTTTAAACAAGTGTGATCCTTCTGGATCTGCCACTGATATAGCAAACCCAAACGTGATGTTTGGTGTTTTTTTGGTGATAGTTTTTGAAGTTAGGGTTCATATCTCAAATCTCTTCTCCACAATTCTGAATACAGAACCCATCAGCTCGTTAATGTTTTCTGGGGTCCCCTCCTTACTAGGTCGGATACGTTCCAAAATAATTTTTTTATTTAAATACAAACATCAGTCTACGTGAGCAGAGTTATTGTAAGAAATCGAGTGCAAATAAGCGGCAAATGGCAACTTCACTGACGTAAGCTCTTAGTTGCCAAAACAAACTCGCAAATATAACAATTCTGTTCATTTGCTGTCTTTAGAAGTCCTTGGCACTGTTTCTTACACAAAACTTGGATGTTTTGATTTCACCGATGCTCACACTGTGCCCAGCCTCGAAGGAGAGGATTCTTTGTTGGATGGTTATTACACAACAAGAAGGGACGCTATTAGTAAGTGTGGACTGGCGGCTGACAGGCGAGGACATAGAATGTTTGTTGTCATGCCAAGCAGACAGTGTGCAAGTGGTCCTACTACTGAGATGTACAGAAAGTTTCTACAGTCAGGACACAGTAACGTGGAATGCACAGGAATGGCTCTTTGGAGTAGCGTATACTTTCTCAATTTTAGCCGGTATGACGATAGAGGTGCTAACAATGTTGAAGGTAACGGAGATACATGTATTCAGATTAAACAAGTAAACTGTGTTTCATAGGACGGGATGAAGCTGTTATTTAACAGTACGGAGCAAAATGTCGCTGAATTGCGAGCGTTTCACACCCAGGGGTAGAGATTCTCGATCACCTGTCCGGCCGAAAACCACCGAGTACATGCACCAAAATAGCACAAATAAACTCGGCAATCAAGTGTAGAACACTCAAAGCAGTATCTGGAAAACACCGATTTGAAGCTGTAATTAATTGTCAATTACATTTCCTATTTATGGGGAAACCTCCTGTTTCGACAGAGTGAAAATGAAACAGTTAAATGATTATCCGCTATCGTTAGAGGTAAATGAACTACTGTAACAAATTTTGCAAAGTTAGCTTTGCTGGTTCTAACCCTCATTTGAGTGACGGTCTTTCGCAGGAAAATAAAAATATGTAAATGTTCTATTTTCAGTAATACTTCCGTCTGAGCCGCTAAAATACACGTCAATTGGATGTTTCCTCCAGTTCCGTTCCATGGCTAAGAGATATCCTCTTCTTGTGAGCTATGAGGGCCAAGATCCACTTCTAAAGGATTTCTACCTACTACGAAAAAATGCGATTGAAAAGTGTGCTACGGTAGCCAAGCGACGTGGATATAAAGTTTTTGCTCTGATCAACGGCGGCAAGTGCTTGACTGGCCCTAAAGCTCACACAGTGCCAGTATTCAAAACGTTCTGGGCTACGGGATGCAAAAGCCACGGAAAAGGAGGCTATTGCAATCTTCACGTTTACGTTGTTGGAGAACTGAGAAGTACGATGATTTTACGATTTTAATGGTGTACGTTAAGAGCCTTTTGAATTTGGGTAATACGACTGTCATACTTTTTCTTTATTATACACCAGACACAGTACATTCTGTTTTTTTTTCCTTTTTGACACAGATTTCTTCTCCGCAATACCATACACACAACTCGGTTGCTACAAAAACGACAAAAATATGCTTGATATTGAACAAATGGACCCAGATGTTCTTGATGGTGATTACAAATTGAGAAAGAACGCGATTGGCAAATGTGCATTGGCCGCCATCAAGAGACGCAGTGAAGTGTTTGCAATCCAAGATGGAGGAAAATGTCTCATTACAAGAAATTCTTACGAAGTTTTTGATGAAATTGGGATCTCACAAGACTGTAAAAGTGACGGAAAAGGTGGACCAGGGATCAGTAACGCTTATGTGATAGGGAAAATTAGCGGTATGAATCTTTTCTCATGGATGTCTCCTATTATGAAGAGCTAGGAAGGGAGGGGTCTCTCGTTGGCTCACTTAGGGTGGCGAATATATTCCTACTCGGTTAGAAATGAAATATTTTTAATTTTTAAAAACTATCATGGTGGTGATTTCTCCCCTGCAGCTTTAAAGCAGTTTTTTTTTATTAGTATTAACTTAAGCTTGGGTCACGCCTTAAATGGTCAATAATCTCTGATCGCTTCCCCCTCAAAAGTTCCAATTCACTTCACATGGCTTTGCTTCGTCTCCCTACCCCTTCTTTCTGTACTTAAAAATCCTGATCCTCCCATGATGACAACTAAAAGTCAGCAGAAACTATAAAGTGTCTTATCTGTGCGAAAGAGGGTGTTAAGCTGCTGCCACTAAGAGTCAAGTCATGATGATATTACCTAAGAGAGTAGAATGCAAGGTTTCTTTTTGAACAAAGTGTTTAGTTAACTATTTAAAAATAAATTTCATATCCAGTTTAAAGGAAATAACATTGTTATAACAATGGCTTCCGTTGCAGAGCTTCGGTCTATGTTGACCATTAATATTTTAAACGAAGGATGTTACAAGGACCTTCCTATCCGTGCTATGGAAAGTCTTGAAGGAAAAGACCCCATACTTCTCGATGGCAATTACGCTTCAAGAGATGAAGCAGTTCTTAAGTGCCTCTTGTTAGGAAGAAAACTTGGATATGCCGTGGTGGGTGTTCAAGATGGTGGCATGTGTGTTGGTAGCGCCAAGGTGAAAACGTATAAGAAATACGGAGTATCCCATGATTGCAGGGGGGATAGGAAAGGAGGACCGTGGGCCAGTGAAGTATACCTTAGCTTAACTAACCACATCACTGGTAAGTGTTAATCCGAGACGATGTGTCAAATGGCAGTGGAAAAATTATCACCGGTCCCGATACTAGCTGTAAATGGTGGCTTTTAATTACCAAATGTCTTGACCTTGTTCTTTAGTTGACTGATTTGCAATGCGAAGGTTATGAAACATTACATTTACCCGCACTTTCAATCTTAATAATAATAATAATAATAATAATAATAAGACTTTACTACGGTATATCCATAGAATGGCTCTTCACCCGAGTAAACTAACTAAGTTAATCTACGCTAAAAAACTAACAAATTCACGATGATAAAATACAATTAATAATTATAATACAAAGCATTTGGAATTAAGACCGAAGCAAATTACTATATACGAGATTTCAAAAAAGTAAAAGCCTGTTTTGAAAATGATTTGCTTTCCACACAATGATTTGCTGTCCACACACGTTCTTGATTGTTATGATATATCTCTATCATTATTACCATGGTTTAACGGCCAACGGCCTATTTTTTCAAACAGACGTAGTTCCCTCAACATCCAATGATCTTTTCACAGATTTTCTGGCCGGTGTTACCTACGAATCTAAAGGCTGCTACAAAGACCAAGAAGCGAGAGCTATTTCTTCTTTAGAAGGAAAAGACGTTCTTCTAAGTGATAGCTATACGGAGAGAGAGGATGCTATTCAAAAGTGTGCAGTGGCAGCCATTATACGAGGATACAAAACATTTGGAATCCAAAATGGTGGCATGTGTGTTAGTGGCCCTAACGCGCACCAAACATATAGCAAATACGGTGAATCAATGGATTGTAAAAATGACGGAGAAGGAGGACCTTGGGCCAATCAGGTTTACAATCTTGTGGGAAGGGTGGACGGTAAGTTGACATGAATGTATTAACATCTAAACCTAGTGGTCTCTTCTACGGCCACCGAATTATTGGCCAAATTTGGCTTAAGCTTCAAGTAGGGTAAAAAATATTTCACTCTCGTTTGTACAACACATCGCTTGATGAATTGTGGCAACCGCGTTTTTTTTTTTCTTTTTTTCCGAATGTCCTTTAACAGTATCCTTAATTTTAGCGTAAGAAGGAGCTGCTCCATAGACAAAGTTGAGTTGCGTCATTTACCTTCGGTTGAAAATTGGAATATTAGCACGAGTTCCTGAAACAGTTGAGGGTATAGCGGGCTCACTCCTTTTTCTCAAATTATTTCCTTCCAGTAATTTGACGTTTTTGTATTCGCAGATATCTTTGAGAGTGTTCAACGCTTACATGTTGGATGCTTCGATGACATGCAAGCACAGAGGATTCCCAGTTTAATGCAAGATCCTGTATTAAACATTACCATTACTTCAGATACGGATTTTGGTGAATCAGTTGCAGGTCTTAAGCTTAGTCAACAAGAGAACCGATTTAACGTGAAGTGTGCATTAGCGACCTGGAGGAGAGGACATAAAGCATATGTTGTTACTGCTGACGGGCAGTGCGCCAGTGGTCCTGATACGCACACCAACATTGTTAAGTTTGGTTATGGCTTAGAAGAGTGCTCAACCGTACCGGCGAACAATAAGGCGTACCTTGTTGGTCCTAGTCCGTTTATCCCACCCTATGAAGGTATGATGAATGTTTCCTGCCTTTTTCTCCTACGAGAAGAGAGACGATTACTTCGAAGGGCCAAAATTAACAATTTGATCAGGAGGTTTTGATTTATTTATTTTTGCCTGGGATCTGTTATGTGAAGGGAAAATTTGTCACCTTCCATTGGGATAAAGAAGCAAGGTAGGGTAAACTCCTTATCTGGGTATTCAAATGAACTTCATCCAGAATACAGATCCTTTTAGGGCTCAGATAAAGGGAAAGGAAAAAGATTTCATATCTACCTTAGAGATAGAATTTATAGAAAAGCCTATAGGTCAAAACAAGTGTGTTGAAAATTTACGTAAGTTACAAGTATTATCAAAAAGCCGGTTGAACAAGTGGATGAGAAAGCCGGTATCCTGGCAAAAGCCGGTTTAACAGGTAGAGAGAGATAAGAAGCTTGGATCTGTTGAACACTTTAGTAGAGACTTGCGTTAGATTTTATTAAAAGGCGGAGAGGACATGATAGATTTAAAACAACAAAAGGAAATAGGAACTGAGGTGTCTTTGATTTTGATAACAAATTGAATTTGTGATGTGGTCAAATTGGCCTTGTCTAGTCACTTATATGTAAATTAATTGATATTTCCTTTTTGTAATTAATTTAACTATCCGAGCTTCTATGAGTTCAGTTAAAGATTATAAATCACGTGGTGCACGGACAACGCCCACTCTAGATCCATAGAGAGCTGTGTTGTTTGGAAACCACACTTCTTCCTAAAATCAGCAACGATTAAGAAATTGTTAAACGATGTCTGGGATTGCAGTGAATTTGCTCGACTTCTATGATTGGTCTGGATGTGGTCAAATTGGCCTTGTCTAGTCACTTATGTGTAAAGTAATTGATATTTCCTTTTTGTAATTAACTAAACTATCCGCGCTTCTATGAGTTCAGTTAGAGATTATAAATCACATAGTGCACGGACAACGCCCACTCTAGATCCATAGAGAGCTGTGTTGTTTGGAAACCACACTTCTCCCTAAAATCAGCAACGATTAAGAAATTGTTAAACGATGTCTGGGATTGCAGTGAATTTGCTCAACTTCTATGATTAGTCTGGAAGACTCAAAGTTATCTGGTCGGATGCGATACTAAAACCAATCGGTATTTGATCAATAGCGTTGCCATCATCATTTGCGTGACACATTATTATGATATTATGTTGCCCTTTGATGTGATTGGCTGTTGAGATATTGTGGGTTTCGGATTTACGAAAATCAACTGATATAAACAATTGTAGAAAGTGACTAACATTTACATGCCAATTTGCATTTGCTTTCTACAATAGAGTTACATGTTGAGTATGAATCTGTTGGATGCTATGAAGACAGAGGAGAACGAGCTATCGAGAATGCTGCTTCACTTGAATACTATCCGTTTGGTTACTCTATATACTACTTCATGAAAGGAAATGAAATCCAGAAGTGCGCATTATTTGCAAAGCTGGTTGGGTACAAGGTGTTTGCGATTCAAAATGGGGGGGAGTGCCTTACCAGTGCCACGGCCCATAAAACATACAGTAAATATGGTGAATCGCAGGTCTGTAAGGGCGATGGAAAAGGAGGACCCTTTGCCAATCAAGTGTATCGTTTATCTGAGAGAAAAGGTATTTTGTTTTATGTTTTATGTTGTTGTTGTTGTTTTTTTTTATTTTTGTCTTGGGTTTTTATTGTTTTCATTAGAAACCTCGACCTTGTCCCCAGTCTACATTTTCTTTAAGTGTCAATAACAGCTGCGGACGAAGATGGCAAAAGTTTTTCTGGATGGGGCGGAAAAACAAAAATGGCACAACTCGATTGGCCCATCCAGTTGATAATAGTATACTACATGATGACTTAATAATACTAGCTTCGGGACGGGTGAATCGAACTGTCAATTTTCTTTACTTCTTGGATATCGTCACCATCAAAAGAAGCAACGACGAAAAACCATACCACCACCGATGGAAAACTTGATGAAAATCGTTTACTCTTCCATTGGAATTGGTGTTTTACCTTTTTACGAAAATTGAAAAGTGTCATTGCCTTTTTAACATGACCATCTTTATCTTCCTTTCCTTTGCAGGATGAGAGCGTGTGCCAATGAGCTTTCTAACAGTTTGTGTGGCTCATCTTTACAAAGAAAAATGGAAATTACGTCATAATACATGGCAATAAAGCTCTTGTTCAAAAAACTTATTTTACTGTTGTTCGTCTCTTTAACAACTTTGCATAGAGGGGAAAATCATAGCAAAACTCGCCTAAAAACTTTCAATAAAATGTAGTGATTTTCAAACTCTTAGCTATCTAAATAATGAATTCACATTTTGGATGCCTCACACTTAGTGCAATGGGTAATCTTTCTTCCAGCAAGAGAGAGTCAGGGGATTGATTCCTCGCGGCGATAAGTAATTCTTTTCATTCTTTTTCTTTCCTTTTTTTCCTTTTTTTTTCCAATTTTCCTTCCTCTTCAAAAGCATTTGTTTTTTCTCTTTTTGCCTGTAACATCACCTTTTTTGAGTGCAGAAATCGGCATTTAAGAAGCTAATTCCCGAGACGGAGCGTTTGGTTTTTCTTTTCCTGCTTTTGAAAAAAAAGAGGAGGTTTTCATCGTTCCAGAGTATAGTTAATCGATATTGCGTTTTTCGGAGGTCGAATTTTCAAATTTGGGACCCACAAGGTTTATAAAGAAGGCCTAAATATTCCAAAATGTAAGACGGCTCATCACCTTCGAGCAGTATATACGTGCATATCCCATCGCCTCATATGTGTGATAAAACTTTATGCCTGAAGCTTAAATTTCAGTCTTTCTTTCATTTATTAGTAAAGTCTACTGATCTCAGAATTCGGTCAAAGATGCGTTTTTCCTCTGCAGATTGTGAAATGTTTTAACAATTCTCGGCTCTCAGTTGAACTGAAAAAGCCAATTAATTACGTACTAGTCATGTTAGCGAACCAAAAAAGTTACAGAAAGACAGATTGATGGAATGGTTGAGTAGGGGGGGAAGGGAGTGTGAATTTTGGTTCATAAAAAGAACTTGCAAATGGTCTTCAGCAATTTTCCGAGTTAAAAACGCAACAATTTCATAGAGCGGTTCAAAAAATTAATATCCAAAGAGATGGACTTTGGCTTCAGATGAATTTGATCAAGTCGCGACACAGGACACGTATAATGTTTGTTATTATGTCTCCCATACAATCAATTATCTCAGGCTTTGTCTGGTAGGCTAATTTCCACTTTTGTACGAGTATGTATCATTTTATCGGCTTCACTTCTAGAAATTCGCTTAATCGGTTAGAATAAATGCGTTTTTTATTATTATGTATAACTGTGTGGTTTTCCTATAAAAAAAAAAAAACTTTGTGAGTATGTTGGTCGGTATTCCCTCGGAAATGAAGTGCCGGTGCCAAGCAGTTTCGGCGTATTCCCGATATTTTTAATCCCAGTAACCTTGGTTATATGCTTCTGAAATGGCTAAAAATTAAATATGCTGTTTGAGCTAAACGTTGTAAGTTCAGGCTCATTTAAGTTCGAGTTGATATTTCTAACATTACAACACTATTTACAGCTCTCTATTTAACTTCGATACATAGGTCAAAAACCTGTCTAAAGCGAGGCATACTACTTCACTTTGTAATTAATAATCGATTATCTTGAACCCGCCTTTTGAAGTCGGAAAACTCATTTGAATTACAAATACTCTTAGAAATTACTATTCATATTTGCGCGCAGTCTTACACGTGGAAAGAGCTTACGAACTACAAGAAATTTGAGCGTCTCTTTTGGCTTATGTGGAGTCAAGAAACGCGTCATTTCGAACCCTTTATCTTGGATACTGTCTTTTCTGTCCAGGTCAACGTGTGTTCTTATGCTGGATTGAGTGGTTGGGATACTTTGTTGAGGATTCATGCTTTTCTCTCAGTCACCGCTATTATTTAGGTAAATAGCTTATGGAAGGATACATTTGGATAGTAACGTACTGTTCATCTTTCTCGTTGTGGCCCTTGTAAGATCAATTTAAAGTAACGGAATAAAGAGCGTAATGCACATAACATAGTGTAGGACAAATCTTCAACGGCAGCCGCCATTACAGTTTTTCTTAAACGTGACCTTGTGGCAGCGCGAGAAATTCGAACTTTATTTTTAGTGCATTTAACGCTAATTTACCTATTTCGATTTTTCTTTTCATTCTTGTACGTATTTTTCCACTGGCTATTATGATTATGTTGTGTTGAACTAAAGTGTGTTTAACCCTTTAACTCCCAAGATCTGATTGTCAATTCTCCTCTCTTACTGTTACACATTTCCTTGTTAATCAGTTACAAGAATTTGGTGTTGGATCAAGACACCAACTTCAACTTGATAAGTTTGGGTATTCTCATCACCTGTTTGCTAGACAATGTATGGATATTACAGGGAGAAGTTACATTTTAGTCATTTCTGGCAGTTAAGGGGTTAAACACCCTTTTTCTTTCCCTTACCCTCCAGCCTCATCATGATGGAGAGGGTAATCTAAAAAACGTTCCAACGCAGACTCCAGTTTCTGGTTACCAGAGGATTCTCTCCGCCATCTTTTATACAGAGGTCGTGAAGGGCACTACTTGCTTTGCATTTTCAGAAAGCCAACAGTCAAAGTTAGCTAGGTTTTTCTTAGTTACACATTTTTTTTTTGATGATGCTCGGAAAGTTATTATGATACAATTTCCGAATGCCTTTGTTCAATATGACTTACGGATGTTAAATTTGTCAGCAGAAAATGTGGTAGCTCGAAATGAGTTTTTCGATGCAGACTTTTCACCTTTATTATTAAGAATCAAAAGAACTCTCTCATATATTTCGTTTGTAATATAGTCATCTCTTTTTTTGTCTCCATGGATATAAAAAAATATAAAGAAGAAAAGAAATGGAACACCTCGAAATCAAGAAAGTCAAGGAAGGAGAGAAATACAGGATCACATCTGACAAGGTAAGATAACTGACTTTTATAAGAAATTAGCTTTCTAGGCCTATTTGTCTGCGTTGAACGATTTAACCTGGATCTACCAATTTCATGGATCTCTTTCTGATTGAGGTGGCTTTCGGTTGTTTCAGCAATGTTTGGTTGATGAATTAATTCTCTTGTACATGAGCACATTTTATTTGTTTCGCTCGTGTCGAAGAAATATCCACTCATCATTGTGCGCGTTATGACTGCCACGAGGAGAAGTGTTTTAATTCTTCTGGATGCTTTACTTTAGCAAGGAATTCTTTATTCCAAAGTAAACTGATAAAAAAGGAAGGGGAGTCACCGAACTTATCCATTCGCCGAGCAATTACAGCAGATACTAGTCCGAAGAATTTTCATGGTGTTCCTTATATACCAGAATGATGGTCATAGGACGTAAAATAAAGTGGGTGTTCATTTGATCACGACAAATTTCTGTCAACCGGAGACCTAATGGTTTCGGCTTTTAGTATAAACACAATTCAAGATGTTAAGGATTTTATTTTCGCACACTAAGTTGTAGAATGTTATCTGAGATTTCTTCAGATTCTGATGATTTCGTACACTGTTACCTCCTTCAGTTGTTAAATGTCTTATTCCTGAAGGAAAAAAAATTAAGTATGCTCTCACACTCATCATTTCTTGAATTTGTTTTTCCAAAATTCTTTTTGAGGTCTCTGATAAGTTTAATAGTATGATAGGTTCTTATAGAAAGGAAACCTTTTCAATTTAAACAGTTATATCGTTGGAGCTTAAATGATGCAGTTGAATTTTGAATCAAATTAAAAGTGTTTACTTCAAAAGTAGATAATTTTATGTCATAGTTCTTCCTGCGTTTGTCATCAAATCATCTAAAACTTCACCTTGACGTGATTCAATGAAGGTCCCAGCGCCTTAGTACTAATATTTTTTAAGCTCTAGACGCTAAAACCAAATTACAACAGTATGCTCCAAAATTTTTTTTTTTTGTTCCTCTAACTGCCTCTTGAGTAAATCATCAACCGACATAGATCTTTTTTTGACGTGTTCACAATAAAAATGTTAGGTACTAATTTTTAAAACGGTATGAGCTCTTAGAGATTAAAAAAAATTGGAAAGTTTGTTCCATGAATTGATCTTTGTTCCTCAAGTTGCCTCAAAGTTTCGTCATCAACTGATATATATTTTCATTTTAACTTGATTAATTACAAATATTCGAGCCTAATCATTAAGATGTTTGAGCCTATGAGCTGGGCTGCAACCAAATTGAATAACATAATAAAAAGTTGCTTTTTGTCTCTCAAATTGACTCTAAAAGTGTTTCATCAAGTACACGATCGGCTGCAGTAAAAATCATAAAGCCAAATTTTTAAAATTCTTAGCTCTTGATGCTGAAACTAATTGAAAGGGTATGCTCAAAAATTGATTTATTTGTCTTATGTTATTCAAAGTCTATCATCGACTTATATGGAGCTTTAAAACATGCTTTGATAAGATCTTGAAGCCTTAGTATGATGTCTGTGCTCTTGTCACGAAACCCGAATTGAAATAACATGCTCCGAAACTTGATGTTTGTATTTCAAAATGCTTCTGTAGTTTATCAACTTTTTGACATGATTCTAGAGCCTAATTATCAAATATCTGAGCTCTTTAGGTTGAAGGCAAATGGGAATAGCATGCTCTAAAAACTGGTACTTTTTAATTTGTTCGTGGAAGTCATTCATAAATCTCAATGATTTTTAATTCTGAAGCTTGCTCAGTTCTCATGATTGGGAAAAGAAAAGAAAAGAAAAGAACAGTACCATTTGCTCATAAAAATTAAAGATCGCTTTCTAGTGTACAAATTGGTTTAGGAGTTCGGTTAACATGTCAGTTAATTTTCAATCTGTTCCTGTGTTGGTTGAATGTAGGTACATTTGGTCGGCTTAAAGATACCTCATCCTGAAAAAGCATCGTGAGAAAATATCGGGAGACCTTACTGCTACTTAAACCGCTGAACACAAATTTTGAAACCTCTTTCTTTTGCTGGTTAAATTTATTCACCAAAGCACAGAAACTGAAAAATAATTTTTTAACACCGTGATTCAACTCTCGGTGACCCAATATCAGATGACTTTGCTTTTAAATCCCCTTCCCTTCATGAAAGAAACAGAAAGCTTGATTTCAGAACTTTTACTTTCATCAGAAAATTACTTCAACGAAACATTTTTTAAAATAGTAATTTTAAGCTTTCCACTCATGAAAAAACGCCGCTCAGTCACTTTTATTTCTTATTGTTATTAGCATATTCACCGACTCTCACTTATTTAGGTTCTCTCAGGATTTCATGCATGTAAACGGGAGCTTGCAACGATATTTCGATCAATCTTGATACTTTTTTCGTTTTCTAGTCGAAACTTTAAACAAGAGCACAGCATTTTATTTAAATATACATTCTGCGGCGCACTATTAAAGAGATAAAAATTCAATCAAGCAGGAAGTGAATTCATGCAGTTATTACATGTGGATTCCTTTGTGATCTCAGAAGAATTGCTAGCGCGTATTTAGATAACCTGTTTGTTGTTACTTGACTGAAATTCTCGGCTCAAATTGAGGTAAAATTTCCGCACAGCCCCATCCTACATTATACATTCAGTTCTTGGATAGAGAAAACATTGACAAAGACAATAAATTGCCATTAGGAAAACAATATTGTTTTACAATAGTATGGGGCTGTGCGGAAATTTTACTCAAATTGAAATGGCTTCATCCCGGAAATCAAGTAGGTTTAAAGCCTAAATTAGAAAATCTAACTTGAAGTGATTTCGACAACAACAGTTACAATAGAATTCTTTGAATTCATTACATATGACGTCCATCTGTGTTCGCAGTAAATTTATCGTTAAATCCAGGTTATGCTCACATTTATTTGTGTGGTCATTCAATGAATAAAGATTTAAATACTGACTTCTATTCTACTCGAATTCTACATGTCTAACATTACCAAATTAAATACGTTTTTCTGCGACACGGCCAACACTACATGGACTATTATCGCTTGAGAAAGCAAAGTTTTAAATAAATTGTATCAGTCAATTCGTGATTTCTCTTCATTTTTTTTTTGCAGACTGTTAGATGAATACCTCTCATGCTTAATTCAAGCACGAAAGACTATGATGCAAGTATAATACACGATTTATTAAGGGGTACAAAACAGATTTGGCGCTTTCCTTTCAAAAATTTCAAGTCAGAGCTACGTTTCAAACGCTAAAGTCAGGGACTAGAAAGGCATTATTTCATGATTTTTGTCAGTTCAATCAGCGTTAAGCGCTGTTTGAAATGAAAATTTTTTCCCGCCAAAAAACTTACAAAAACACGGAGTTTAAGGACGCATGCGCCAGTTTTTTCTTTATCTATTCTGTAAGTAAAATTTGTTTAAATGTGGTGAATTTTCCCGCCAAAAGACTTAGAAAAATACGGTGCTCAAAATATGCATGCGCCGATTTTTTTAAAAATATAATCTACATTGCCAATAAATTATATTTGCTCACTTATCTTTTCTTGTGCTATTATCGTCAATAAAGCAGTGTTTAGTTTCTGTCTCAACTTTTATTGTCCTTCAATATAAACTCAATAAGCCACAAAAGTTTCATATTCAACAAATTTTATTTGTTTTAGATATTTCTTTAATCATAGGTTTATTTAGTAATTTTAAATTGAATTAATGATAAAATTTTTTTTCGTGTATATACTAAGACTTTTGGCGGGAAAATTTGAACCAATTTGCACAGAGAGTCCCCTGGCAACTTTATCGGCAAAATTTAAATTAGGCATCCTTTAAAAATAACCGCCAAAAATAATGAAACGGCATCTCGTGCAAAATATGGAATAGAAATCGCAAAGATTCTGTTTCTAGCCTATTTTTATAAGACTTCAAATTCTTTGCGCGAGACGTGTTCAAGTTTCTAACAAAAAGAGCATCATGGCAAGCTATAGAGTGTTCAATTGCAATCTCCGAAATTGTGATGAATTTCTTGATTCACAGTTTGCTTTTGAATCCATTTTTTTTTTGGTAAGCCTGTATAGCTTGCTATGAAGTGTTTTTGTGAGGAGTAAAAGATCTTTAAAGCTGCCAGTTTTGGATGTATGTAACACAGGACAAAGATTGGAAAGTGTCGAAAACATACATCGAAGATTTTGTGATATTTCATTGGTCAAAAATTCCTTTTTTGATTGAATTTGAATAAAAAACGTTTTGCATTGTTGGAGCAAACTCCTTGAGCTTAGTGTTAGCCACAAGAGCTAAGACATTTTACAATTAGACTTCCAGTTTCTTCAACTGAATTTGCCAAGAAATTAAAAAATATAGTAACAAATAGCGAACCCTTTGAATTTGTGTTTAGCGTTAAAGACATTTCATAATTATGCTCCAAGGCTCTTAAACTAAATTCGAGAGTAATTTGAAAAATAAAATAGTATAAATTTTTGGTGCAGTCTAAGAGTTCTGTTTTAGCCAAAAATAGACCAAGTTATTCACGATAAATTTCTGAAGCGAATTTTTTTTAAAGATAATTAGCCCTTAAACGCGTTTTATTGATATTATGACCTAAATTGAAGATAAAAATCTATAGTTTTGTTGACCGTTTTTCTTTTGTATATTCCTGTGTTACACCAAGTGACTGCGCAAAAGATCTTCCTTCCACTTACAATATTAAACTTAGCACGATATATTTTATAACTAAATGCCTGGTCTAAATGGCAACAAGTATCCTTTTTCGAATGCAACTCGAGTTTGAAAGTTTGTATCGAAGAAAAAAATCTGTTCCTTAACAAGTTGCGAAACAATTTACCATCTAAGTTTCTATTGAATAAACAAAGTTGAAATATGAAAGTCTATTTTTCTTCTTCGTAAAAAGGAGTCAATTTTGACTGGTGTATAAGAAAGGTAAATTTCAACTTGATCAGTTTCTCGAAGGAGCTCGTGACCAGGCAGTAGCGTTTTAAAACATATATTACTTCCAAACCAAACCTGAACTCAGTTGATGGCACAAAGTAAAGAATATAATCTAAGATGGCACTGTAAATTATTGCTTGGTTTATAAAAAAAAAAACTTCTTTTTTAATAAAAGTAGTTAGATTTGTAGTTTAATTGAATTCATGCCAAAATTGATTTTTCAATTTTCAATATATTTTGGCCAACTTTTTCGTTCGGTATCATTTAGTTACCAATTGTGAAGTACGATCGTCCGAGACTGGCCTAAGTACATACCACTTGAATTATCTGGATCGAGTGAAAAATTGCCGAATTATTTTGTTAGAGTGCCACCTTAGATATCATCTTTATGTGACATCAACAAGGACATAAATGTGATACTAACTGTTAAACAAACCAAAAAAATGAGCGATCAGAGCTTCGAAATTAATAATTCTAGTTCAGTATTCTGTAGCCAGGATAAGGTCAATTTCTAGTTGTTTCTATCACTAATTCGATTCAACGAAATTATCCGAGATAATTACACCGAATTATAGCTAGTAATTCAAATAAATCAAATAATCGCTCAGAGTTTGCATAACAATCTGTAACACAACAAACTATTCCAAAAATGGTGGCTAATTGAGAAGACTCCATAAAATAGTTAGACTAGAGGGCCACCATTTTTGATAGTATTACTAAAAAATTTCAAACTTCTTAGCTTTTCAGTATCAACAAAAAATTCAGTGATTCCAGTGTCTTCTCTCGACCAAATTCTTTGTTCTTTCATCCTTCTGACAACATTACTCTTCCTGATAGCAAAAAATACGAAAATGATCAGTAGATACTTACTTTGTATGAGGCCGAAAACTAAGAATTAAAATTCTGTATATTGGTTTTGCTATTAAGAAAGAGAAAGCATCAAATATTTATAAAATTTTATTTAAATGAAGCAAGGCCACTGAGTAAAATAGTCATTAGGCCTTCACGTGGCTGCATTCAAATACGAAATGAAGTCCCCAATAGATTTACCAAGTAAAACATTTTTATCTGAGCGTTTCACTAAAATATTTTACAATCATGTTTCACTTTTTTCGAAGTCAGCTTCCTAATTTAGTCTAATCTAGAGTTGAAGAGCCTCTTAGACTGAGCAACCGATTCGTGTTACTGACGTCGTTGAACTGAGATGACACGACTCGTTTTGATCTCTGAGGGAGCTTAACGCGATATTTTCCAAACATAATGCTCACCTACTGTTGTAGCGACATGAAACTGCTTCCATTCTTCTTCTTTACAGGTCCAGCGTCTTCTTCCTTTCAGAACGCAACGTTACGTTTCGCACACCAAACGCACGTCTTCACTCGACAACTGACAGCGTGGTTTGCTGAAAATCTACAACTTCTGATGAATATGGATTAACGACGGCAGCCAATAACCGGCTGCTACACCACAGATTTGGCGCGGAGTATTGTGTGCAAACTCAGCGCCACTTTTTTTTGTTTTTCAAGCGAGCAGAGGAAAGGGCGAGACCTAGTCAAATGGACAGGTGCTAAAAGGAAAATACTTGCAAAGGTTACGCCCCGGGCGCTTTTATCTACTCACCTAAAAAACTAAAAACTCGAAATGGCGTCTGTTCCACAGGTTAGTACTCAGAGAGCCACATCCAACATATTGCGACTTATTACTTAACAAATAAAGAAGCTCGACTGTGCTCTGTTCTGTTGTAAAGCGCGCAAGAAGTGATTAGAGTACGAAAGAAGTGTAGGGGAAACACTCTTCCTGCGTGCTTTACAACTGACGGAGCACATAAACAGAAGTGGCGTGAGCCTACACCTTCATGAAGCACATTCGAATAAACCAATCAGTTAGAATGGTTTAAAGTAATTTAATTGGTCGAATAATACTGAAGTTTTGGTAAGTGTCCACCCATCACAGTTAACAAACTATCAAAGTTCACACTCTAAAAAGGTTCAGCAGGTTTGCATTCAAGTCAGGTAAGGGAGGAGTTTTTAAGCCAAGGAAGTCTCTTTAAAATGGAGATAAAAACGTTGTTTTTAATAGATAATCTCTGTATCAACTGTCTTTTCATTACCAAGAACCACTTCTGTCAATATTTATTTCTTTATTTTAAAGTACATGGAGATTTTGCAATCGATTATGACACTAGGATTACTTTTTAACGACTATGTAAAACATGGACAGAGAATCGTACTCCAATAAATATAGTTTGTTTTCTGATTGGATATCTATTTTCAACGGCTAGTTTCAAAAGATAACAGAAAGAACAGTTACAATGTGAAACTGTATCAGCTAGACCTGCTATCAATTTGGATGCAACACATGTTGCGTGAAAAACTTGAGAAACTGAACATGGCTTGTAAAGGTTTGTTTGTAACAAGTGTGGCACAGACTAGTATCAAGTTTTACTTACCGTTAAGACTGACGCAATGCTGAATAACTATTTCTTGAAAAAAACTGACTTCTTCTGCACATGTTGGCAATTACATGAAATAATTTCTCGCGCAGGTTGCATCGCATTGGTATAGACTAAACTGCCATACCCTTTCACTCCCAAGATCTCATAAGTAATTCTCCTTACTGTCTGCCATACAATTCTTAGAATATTATTTTGGCGAATTTGCTATTGGATCAACAAATAACCTCGTAATTGATATTTTTCTTTATTCTCATCATTTGTCTGTTGATTTTTTATTTATATTTTAAGAAGAAATTCTGTCTATTTCCTTCGTGGGAGTTTGTGGAAGGTTAAAAAACAGTTTCTCAACTCAATAGTTTTCATTCCAATAGACCTCTGTAGCAATTAACAAATCAAATTATCAAATTGGAGGTGGGTTTTTTTCCTCCAAAAATAGAATATAATTTTCCATCTGGCCTATACGTATATATGTCTGTGATTTGTATAAAATAAATAAAACTGTCATTTATTAATTTGTGAACATTTCTTACCAGTAATTTAAGCGTTCATTATATGAGTTTTATTTTCCCGGAATTTAATTAATGTTCTTTCGTTACTATAGAACTATAAAACTACAGCGCCTATCTTCTAAAGAAATTCTCCGTCCTCAAACAGCAAAAAATTATTGTTTAAATTTTGATAATAATTATCCTGTCGGGTGAACCACTTTCTTTTCCTTCTTTCTTATGTGTTTAACAATTTAAGGTCTAAAATCAACCGTAAGATTTCAAATCGAACTGAAACGATGATTTTGAAAGCGACAACTGAATTGTACAAAGATAATAAATTGGCCTGGCCACGTAGCAGATTCCTTGCCTAGTTCACAGTCCTTTTACCCAATAGTGGTAAGGTTTTGTTGAAAGCAAAGTATGCAGGCCGCCTCTGGGACACAGTGTTTATGGAAAATATGACCTGAAAATCACAACAGGACTTGTATAAGGTTATACCGTTCAATGAAAAGGATCGGAAGAAGTTTTTCTCGCCCGCGTTGAGTGTCGTCAGTCGTGTTAAACGAAGCTCGTTGGGCATTTAAATCCCAAGATCCGATTTTTTAAATTCTCCCCTCTAGCTACTACACATTGCCTTGTAAATAAGTCACGAGAATTTGGAGTTTGATCAAGATATTTCACTAACTCACCACATTCAAATAAAAGCAGTCCTTGATTACTGGTCGAAATCTGCTCACAGAGTTTCAGCGAACACACCAAGCATTCACCGCTAAAAACAGAAAAAAAATTGAAGACGTTAACTTAACTGAACTAGAGAAAGGAAAACTAAATGGTAACTGCTGATTGAAAACATATAACGCTTTCCTAGAAACTTGAAGCCAGTGGATGAACTTCTCGACCACTTGCATTTTCCTCACTAGTTTTCGAGAATGATACGTAAAGAGAAGCAGTAAGCTGTTTCTCTGGATAGTTTTTAATAATGATAACACACAAAAAAATCACAGGTACTTACTCTGACAGGCGAATATTTTGTCCCCAGTTTGAAGCTGTTGTAAGAAAAAAATGGGAGTTAGATCTATTGCAATTAAAAAGTAAAAAGAAACTGTAAAAACGAAAAACAGCCTGGATATACGTCGCGAGATGCACCACTCAATGCGTGGATAAAAGAAGACTTTACGTAGATACGGAAATAAACCAATAAGAGCTCGTCGCACACATACTACATACGCAGAGCACTTTCATGAATCACGCTCTAAATCCACGCAAATAAGCCTCGTTCGCGAGTAACGCATTACACAACGTCCACAAACCAAGGCGACAACTTAAGTCAGAAAACTACGGGTACAAACATACAAAACGTCCACGAATAATGCACGAAGACCAGACAGACAAGCTTAGCAAGAGTCTGGAGTCCTCTTCACCAACCTCCATCCTCAAGTGTCCTGAATTGTTCCATGGATTCTAGTGGTGGATTTACGTCTTCCTGTTCAATTAAAAAAACACAGATAAACAATTTTCATGAATCAGTCCAAGAACTATTTTATAGCGTATGCCTTAGAGCAATTAACACTAGATTTTGAAAAGATTTTTGCACTTTACCCGAGAAGAAAATCGCACCAAAGAATTGCTTACAGTACCTTACTTTTTGGACCATACGTTTCTTCTTCTTTACGGAAACTGTTTAACTTAAAGGAGAAAACAAAGACAATAAGAACATCACAAACAGCATCATCAGGTACGTTCTCTAAACACGACAAGAAAACATCTCTAAAAATCTCAGTGCCTTAAAACTGCTCCCTTTTTCGCTCACCTTAGGCGCCAAGGAGCCACTTCTTTGTGACCACAGATAAGAGTCCAGCTTTTTGAGCAGTTCGTGAATCAACGTCCTGAAAAGAAGTAAGAGTTTCAGCGCTGTATTAGTAAAAGGCTTGTGTAAATCATCATAGAGAGAACCTTTTTACTCCCTCCCCCTCCCCCCTCGAGCGCGCAGGCGCAGGGTGGGAGAGATGCACTTTTTTATTTGGCCCGCACGAGTATGCGCCGCTTAAGTATGGTTTTCTGGGCATTCAATCTTCCACAGGACATACAATTTTACTGCTTAGGGTTTTGAACGGGGTTTCTTTCTTGATCCAAGGCTTTAGACAGGGTGACAATGTTATTGGTGTAGAATCTATCTGGGTTGTACAAAAACAATATTTTCAGATCAAATACCATCTATTCTGTCAGCTCTATTAGGTCGAAAACGATCGCCAAATTGACGGATTTGGTCTCAAAAAGTGTCAGGACTTAGAAGCGAAGAATCCCTCCCCTGACTTTAAAGTAGTGCCCATCCCCATCCCCCACGCCCCGTCACTGAGCCTCAACAGAGAAAGACGAGCGTTATACCAACCTTTGCCTTCTTTCAATAACGGCTCCCAATAAACACGAGTAGTAGAAATCTGTAGTAAGGAGTGGTGTGTCACGTGGTAGAGCCTGCAGTAAGTTAACAGTGTGTCCAGCACCAAGCCGTTCAAGCATCAGGTTAATGACGTTACTCCACGTCAAGTTAGGCGTCCAATCAGTAAGCGACAGCGGCATGCACGAGTGCGGACAAGCATGAGACTTGTCGCTATTTCCATCACGTGATAAAAGCAATTCTAAGAGGTACTTCCATTCATCTAGTGATTTCGGGAGACTTCCTGCATACAAAAATTACATATAAGCCGCAACATGTCCCGGACAAGTGTAAACGAACCAGATTTCATGGCCACAGTAACCAACAATGGTAATTTTAAGGTTTTCCCTCCTCTGAAAATCTAGTTTCACAGCCGAATTATAGGACATAATTGTAACACAGGATAAACAAATGACTGGTAGAAAATCGCATAAATGTGTATATGTAGCGCAACACGACGCAATCGCTTTGGTCGCCATAGCGACAAGAAAAAGGTTGTTCCTGCTGAATTTCTAGTCTACGCTGCTAAAGACGCGAGGGAAAATACTGTACATACCCCATGGCTGAGTGTCCTTGATAAGGTTCAAGTCACCTAGCGAGAAGACCAGTTTCAAGGCGTCTTGTCTAAGATTTTTCCGCACACACAAGCGGGTCAGACCAACCCAATATCTGAGTTAAAAAAAGGAGAGAGATAACGTTAACAATTAATTTAACGTTACAGGCATTATGACCGAATTTAGTGCTCATGTGAAGAACATTACCTTATAATAAACAAAGATGTAATTTGTTTTGGTTTTAAACGTGGAAAAAAAAAAGAACACTGAGTACCTTACGAGAAATACGACCTCGAACCTGATTTCGCAGTCCAACGTTCTTCCAACTAGCTACCAAGAGCTCGTTGGTGAGTTAGCCTAACTCAACAACGAGCTCTTGGTGAGCAGCCAATCATAACAAAAATTACATCATTATCAGCCAATGGGAACATGTAGTAAAAGCAATCTTCCTGAAGCGCGGGAAAACGCGACTGACCAAGTCGCAACTGATTTTAGTTTTGCATCCGATTGGTTGAAAAGGCAAGGTGAGATTTCTAGACCAATCCCAGAGCATGATGAAGTAAAATAAAAGCAATCCTAGATCACTTTCGACACTCGATTAAAAATTGCTCGAATAAGAGACAAACGTCTTGCGAATCAGCAATGTCAACACGCTGTGTTTGCATAGATCTAAATTTTTCATAAACTACAATTTATACCAATACTTTCTCTTCAAAAGGATAATTTTCCTTCAGACGAAGTTTCAATTTTGCTCGTTAATTTACCCAATTCCGGTGAACATGTAGGGAAAGTCAAGCATGTCGAGATATAAGACTTTTCTCTTACCCATGTTTCAAACACAAATCCATGAAATCGTTACATTCCTTTGGATCTTCCTGAAGGAGAAAGTCAATCAGTTGTTGTAGATGATCGGCTTTCTGCCACGGAATCATGTGCGATCCCGGTCTGAAAAAAAAAAAAAAAAAAAAAAGATACAAAGGTTACAAATTACTATTGAAAAGAAAAAATTCAAGCCCGCAATCAATTAAACCAAAAATTAAAAAAAAATTAGTAAAAATGAAAGATAAATATCGACCTTGGGTTCCCACAGTGTTGACAATGTATTCCGTCTCTTGAAGAATCTACAACAAGTGAGCAGTGGAACCACCACACGGCGACTCCTACATCCTCACAAATCTTACTGACAGTTTGTTCTCTGGAGAAAAAAATATCATTGTGGAAATATTTCACAAAAAGACGGTCACCGTCACCATTAAGAATTCAAATTTCAACTTCAAAGTTTTTATAGAACACATCGCAAATATAGTATGTCACGCTAGGTGTCACGTTAGAAGTCACGACAGGTGTCTCTGTTTGACGAGGAGAAGGACGCTATGCACAGGGCGGATTTGAAAATTTCCCCTGATTTCTTCCTGAGTTCTCATTGGTTCTTATAGCTATTCCTTTCTTCTGATTGGCCGTTGTGATTACTTTGGTTTGGTTTTACGACACTCGATCAAAAAGCGCTCTATCACTTGTATGGTTTCAGACCACACTGCTCTTTACTAAGTTCAACCACAATTTAGAGTCATCCTCCTCTCTATCCTTTTAAAATTACTTATCCGTACTTGGTAATTCCAACCTCAGCCCGCCATCTCATCAGTTGTTCCACATAAAACACAAAATCATCTGATCTGACTTCAAAACACAGACCACTGTTCTGCCGGCATATCTCCATCACCTCCCACGGTTGCACATCAGGAAACATTCTCGCGCACGTGATCATTGTTTCACGGCGATCGTATTCATACAAGCTGTGAAAGATAATCCGTAAAGGAAGCTTTTAACCCTTTTATCCCGAAAGATGACCAGCATCTAACTTCTCCCCATGGTATCACCCCGGAATCAAACAGTGAGGTTATGAGAATAAAAGAAGTGATCACCAACTCTAGATTGTTTATCGAATTCTCCTTGCCCGTAGATCTTGGTAATATATAAATTTAGCCAAGCCTAAAAGCGGAGCTCGCATTTTTTTTCCCGCACGTCTTAAGGGCACAACGCCTTGCCCCGGCTAAGACCAGAACCCGGGTCGTCCGACTCGGAGCTCAGTGCACTGACCTCTAGACAAAGCCGTGGCGCTGGTGTGCCCGCGGTACAGTTGACCACGCATGTGAAAAGTAACATCTTGTACGGTCGGTCGTAGGGTCGTAAGTCCAAATTTTTTCGGCTTAATGGGTTACTACTATCTTGTAATAATGGGGCTACGCTCTGCGAGCTCCGCTATTAATTCTCTATTCTGTTTCAAATACAAAAGGAAGATCGTTTCATTAGGCAACTGTCTAGAGTCTGGGTACAAGTACAACTTACCGAGTTAAATGATACAGTAGAATGCTAGAGTAAGCCTCCATCCCATCATGCAATTCATGAAGTGCTCGCCGTGGATCGCCGTCCTTCAAATACTTAACAATCACGTCATCAGTCGTTACCAGACCTTGACCACAACAAAATGAATCATTTTTCAGTTTAAAAACCTTCAATTTAGCAAAATAATAATTTATAAATTATATAACAGAGTTCCACATATTAAGTATAAACATGATAACTCACTCACCAGACATGCCATCTATAAAAGCTCTCCATGTTGTTCGTCTATCGCCCTTGCTCATAAACAGCGTCCGTCGTAACTGCTTCACATTCAGCAGAAAGAAATAGTAAGATAAGAATTTTGACCTAATAGTGTCATTTTCTCGCTGTTCAGAGCGTTGGCTTTCGGCATTTTCATGGGGAATCCGAGAGAATGCAGTTCCCTCCTTACACTGCAAACAAACGAGCATACGGTCCTTAGCTGAACTGAAAATACCTTGCTCTTTTTGTGAGAAAGAAGGGCCATGAGTTCCTTCTCCATTAGAGAAGTCTCCGTTCATTGTGCTGTTAGGTAATGCCTCGTTGCATCTTTTATTCGTTGACAAGATTAACTTGTCCTCTCCAGAACTGTGTTTGTCCATAGGCAAAGTCTGAAATGCTTCTTTAGTATCGCTGTTTGAAATTTCAACCTTGACGCTTACTTCTTGAACATCTGTGCTATTTGAGGAAATAGATTTCAAGTCACTCACGGTGGTTTTACCAGCTTGAGTTGATTGGCCAGCGTCATAGACACCATTAAAACCATTAGTCATACGTTCCGATACGGTTTCCAAAGAGTTGTGTAGCAAAGGACGAATGCCTCCATTCTTTAAGTTTTTCTCATCAATAATCTCTGCACCATCTTGAACCGCCAACGGGCCATTAGGCATGGTCTTTTCGTCGCTACACAAAACTTCATGGGACAGGTCTTCCAAGCATACCATACCTTCTACTCCAAATACACCACAGTCAAAACACATTCTTGTTAGGTGAGCGACATCGCCAAACGCAGGTTCATCGAGAAACAACTTTAAATCAACCTTAGTGTTGTTCTTATCAATGTTCTTGTTGAACTCATGACAGCTCTTCATGGCCGCATGTAGTTTAGGGACCCATTCTTCCAGAACTTTACGAAGACTACTGATACTGAATAGCACCACTGGATTCTTGACTTCATTCCTGAAAGGAAAATGACACAATCATAACTGTTACATAAAGTAAATTACCCTCTACACGCATTTTCATTGGTTGTTCCCCGTTAAACAATGAGGGCTTATAGACACTTGACGTCACAGTGGACAATTTTTGTGTTTTTGTTAGAAGAACAGGGCGTAGAAAAGCATTTCTCAAGAGGGCAGTCGCGGTTAAGAATATCCACACACTTTACATATAGTGGCTTATACTTCCGCTCCACCATGCAACAAACGGAGTATTTCAGCTAAAAAACATTTATGCCCTAAAGATTCTACGGATTGTTGCTTGCTTCTTTTGTCTTCAATAAAAATCAAATAATTCAAACTCTCTACCAGCTGCCTAACGGATTCGTTCCCAGTTTCCCCCACTTCAACTCCTCGGCTGTGATTTGTAGATTACCAACTGGACTATCTACAGCCATTTTGATATGTAAACACATAGGTTTACCATCAACATCTACTGAACATCACACCAACTAACAAACATTAAGCTCCTGTCGGGTGAGCCAATTAGGCTCTTAAGATACTAAAAAGTAACCACAGGAATAAAACCCCAAAATGGGCCTCACCGAGTCTTCGTTGAACTCCGAATAAGCTCCACGACTTCCGGTGGGCATTCCATCTCCTCCGAGTCTACTTCTTCCTCTCTTTTGCTGATGGTTTCTTCCTCCATGGGTGGGGTAGGAGAGGGTAAACTAAAGGAATCCTCTGATGGAACTTTCAGTTTCTTTTTCAGCAAGCCTTTAGCTTTTGACAACATGGCTGGGATGGCGGGAGGAAGTTCTGATTGTGCGGGGCTAGTGACTAGCTTTTCAGGCTCTGATAAAAGTCTGCTCCTTACCTGCGTTGTAAAGGACACTACCAGTTGATTCCCATGTCACAAACACACAGGGAGAGACAAACACGTAAACAGACAGACAAACAGACAAGGCAAACACAATAAGAGATCAAAAGTCGAGGTAAGCAGTTAACAACATAAGAACAAAGGGGGTAAGTTTCTGAAGAAACTGTGGTGTGCGTCGCTGGAGGGGAGAAACTCTTTATGTTGGCCAATGTGTAGTTAATAAACCAAATTATCAGGCGACAACAAAGCTGCGTACATAGTTAATTATTAATACGTCTACAAACAAGTAGATAAACAGATAGCTCAAAAGATGGCGAGGCAGACAACATTGACAGACAGAGGGGTATATGAATAGAACGACAGGCAGGAGAGCAGGCGTACAGACAGATAGACAGAGGAATAGACGGACAGACAAACAGACCGTGAGGGAGATAGACGGACAGATGGGGAGACAGATGGACGGACAAACGGACAGACACACGGATAGAAAAACACATGGTGGGCCACACAGACCGGGTGGTATGCAGTGTAAACAACTTTACCGACAGGCTAGCCAACATCACTACAGACAAAGACACCGCTAGCAAGCCAGCCGGAAAGACCCAGACAGTCTGTCAGACAGACAGACAGACAGACAGAGACAAAGACAGAGACAGAGGAACAACCATAGAGACAAACCGCCGAACATTTAAACCAACAACTGTGTCACAAAAATGTCTTACCTCCGCATCCTCAGTTGGAGAATAAGTACCACGAAAAGATGCGCTCCGCACAAGGGGGATGGGACTGCCCAGCGAGACCTCTGAATTTAACAATTATTAAACAATATCAGAGTTCGAGAATAATAAATCTAACACAATAGAGTTTGTATAGAGAAAATATATATAATTTTAGTTCATTTCTTTCTTCTTCAAAACCATTAGCGCAACAGCATTGTACTCGTGTTGCGCGAGGTGAATATTAGGCCGTTACTTAAATCATGTGTTTACAACAGATTACATGTAAATTTAACCTACCTTGTTTCAGTTGAGGTGAATCGATATCTAAAGAGAAAACAAGAATTTATAAACACATGTACAGTGTAGATGTACAGTCAGGCTTCCGCGTATTTAACAAACTAAAACGTTCCAAAGAAAAAGAGCAAACAGTGCATTTGGCAGAACAATCGGGGGGAACACGTACTGAAATGTGATTCACGTGAAGACAGCAAAACCTACCAACTGTGACAACTCTTTTCTTTTTCTTCTTCTTTTCTCGCCTTTCCCGTCTAAAAAAAATAAAATGTTACAGAAACTTAACATGACGGAACAACAGATGGTAACGAACCCACTCCATCACCTAACTGCACGAACACTGACCAAGCCCCTGAAAGATGCTTCATCTAGTTGTACATCCTCCGGCAAAAATTTAAGCCATAAAACATTGGATTTTGTAACTAGTAAAAGTCAGCCTCTTAAGGAATTCGAAGCACATTTAATGAGGATGATGAGCAAAAATAATGATGTTTCTTACTTTTCAAAGACCTCTTCTTCCACTACTGCTCCCTCATTTCCTGACTGTCTTGATTCACTGTCATCAGAGTGACATGGACTCTGCTCGAGACTTTTCTTTTGAAGTCGAGGACTCTCCTCTTCACGGACGACTTCTTGAATATCCGGCAGTTCATTCGGTTGACCAGCGCTAGGGTCCGAGGCAGTCTCACTCTTGAACTCAACGGCATCACTTTGTGACTCACTGCTCAGTTTGAGATTTCCTTTCTGACGCTCTGAGGTAAACTTTTTGGCTGCGGCGGCAGCTGATATCAGCATACCCTCCAATGAGATATTCCCGCTCCACTGTTTCATAAGCTTCCTGTGCAGAGCACCTTTAACTTCTGACCCATCATCGTCGCACTTATTGTTTGGCGAGTAGTCATCTTCTTGTCCTATTTCCGCCATCCTCCCATTGGGCTCCAGATCATCAGTTAATGCATCACTGCACACACTCAGTGTGTCAGGACTGGCAGTCAGGCTGGTGTTACCATGGAAATCTGGTAAATTGACATTCTCGTCTGTTGCAGGCTCCATACCACGCTCGAGTTCTTCCAGCTCAGCAATTTGATCCTAAAAGAGACAAATATATTTATAGGGCCTCCTATTATTTAAATTATTCCGTAAAATTTTCGAAATGGACATACACTTAGCCGAATGTTTGGGGGGAGGGGAGGGGGGGAATATGGGTAAAATTCCATGAACACTTGCGAAAAAGACGACAGCAGCTGTTACTATAATATAGAAGTTACATGTAAATTATGACCATGGCTAAATAATGAAATTGCCTGACATGTTGTGGGGTATCGTCCGTTTCAGCTCTATTGTAACATCTGTTAAATCAAACCTTGTTTTCCATGTCTTCTTCGCTTAAGCTCTCTTTGAGATTTGTGACCAAAGAAACTGGAACCACATCTCTTGCTGATCCGGGAATGATGAAATGCTTGCAGTCAAGCACAACCTGTAATTTCAAATGGATGTTGAAGACTTCTTCCATTTTCCGTGTTCCTAAGGTTTAGAGCAGTTCACATACCGTATGTTTGTTGTACAACTTGGTTATTACTAAGTTACAAAAATCATAGCTGTCTCCCTTGAGAGCCTAGAGACCACCCAAGTTAAATTCTTCACAATCTGGAAAGTCATAATTTCTAACCTTTAAACACTGTCTGATTTCTCCCATTTCATGCAGTCTAGATATGCACTCTTTCACAGAAAGAAGGGCAAACCATTTGACACAATCTTCTGCATCATACACGTAGAATTCCCGTCCAATGCACACAAGATCCTGGACCACTGCAAACATAATATTATTAGAATGGCAACTTTAACCCTTGACCTCCCATAAGTGAGCAAGACAGAATTTCTTCCTAGAATATTGATACAATATCATGCAGACAAGTGATGAGCTCAAAGAAAATTGTTATTTAGAAGATTATCATTTGATCCAACTAAATACCAAATTCTTTAAACTGACTTCATAATTATGAATTGTGGTGTAGACATTACGGAGAGTCACTGATGAGATCCTGAGAGTGAAAGAATTAAATTACAGTATGTCAGAAATGTCTTCATGAGGTATAAAAGATCATACAAATGCTAACATCTAAGTTATTTCTCTAAAGTCTTTACCTGTGTTAATATTGTACCAAGCCACCAACTGCCCAAGGATTGGATCCATGATATACAGTGATGATCCATGCCATGTGACAAGGAACCGACTTCTAAAAGATAGATGGCAAGGGGAAGAGTTACTAGGTGTTGATTGGCTGAGACAGAGGGCAGTCATTCACTATTAATAGTTCACTTCAGGTAATCAAAGAGACAATATACTTAATCCTGACCAGTTGACTACGAAGGCATTCTGAGTTTGATATATATGAATTTATTTCAAAAAGACACAAATGGAATACATGATAGAGAACACTGTTTTAGAAAATTGGAAAAGAGAAAATTTTTTATCCAAATCTTTGTGGTTTTATTATTATTTTTTTATTATCAGCCTGAAACCTTCACATCAGTATGGCTGACAAACAATCCAATACAAATTAAAGCATAAAAAAGTGTGATTAATACTTGTCTAACAAATGAATTGAACACAAAACAAAACTAAAAACAAAAAATAAGATGAGACAAAAATTGAGCAGACAGAACAAAAGCTTATTTTAAATAGATTGTGCACCTTGAGTGGCAGTACACACAAGACTACACCCTAACAACATCAACAGGGACAGTGGAATTGAAATCCCAGAAGTCTGGATGATAACAATAAAGAAATACAGCAGCAGCAGACCACAGAGGGAACCAGATATGAAGAAGCACTAACATATCAGTTTATAAGTGACACATACTCAATCAACCTCATCACCTGAAGAAGACTGACAGTATGTAGTAGAAATGTCATGATCCACATCTGCAGTGATCACATCTTGAACAATTATCCTTCTCTTTTGAAAGTGTTATATTTACCACAATTACAAACCACAACCTATTTTACAATGTGACTCGAGTTGTAGTTTAAAATAACAACAGGTTTGAATGATTCCAAACTAGTTTGACAATGCATTTTAATTTGTTTAATTATTGTGGTAGTGTACCTTGAGAAAAGCACAAAACAATTCAAGCCAGATTGAAATCACCTCAACCTGAAACAATTAATTTTAGAAGTTATAACTTAAACACTCACCTTACAAGCAGCAGCTTAGCAAAATTTACAGACTGTGGAGGAAACTCTTCTTCATCTATTGGCTCATCATCACCATGACTGCAAGGTGAAATAATATTTTACAGACAATAGCAACCAATATTATATTAATTTTTACCATGATGCTTCTGTAAAAACAATGAAAACCTCATTGAAAAATGTTTATAGCCTTGCATTGTACAATAAGAATGTCTGCAGTAAAAAGACGTCTGTTTAAATAAATTTTTAGATCAAAGAAACATTTAAGAAATTTTAATTTTTGTGACTGAATCAACTGAGGGCATTTTTTATCTACCCATGCCCACTAGCAAACTCCAGAGGTACACAGTTCCAAAGCTATATTCTGTAGTAGTGGAAGGGTACATCTTGCCCACAAAAAAGTCTTTTCTGTTTTTATTGCTGACATGATTGTTACTGTATGAATTTTAAACCATCCCTATCTTGCCCTTCAATGGAAAGTAGACAACAGAAGGAAAAGTTAAAAAAAAGCCTCCTTTTGAGTCAGATCTCCAAAGGATGTTTCAAGGAATGGACCTCAGAACAAAATCAAACAAACTAACTGACAAGTACCATCAACCTGTCTAACTAAGGGTTCTGATGGCAAAATATCCACACGAAATCTATGAGAATATCCAATGAGAAAAATGCTAGAACAGTCAATTAGGAACTTGCAATTTGAAAAAATAGGAGTCAAAAATTTGAATTACAAACCTATAACCAAGTATTGGCACTGGAGGTGAACCCAGAAGTTTCTTGTACTGTTGGGTGGCCATGACTTGACCATCCATGCTGGCCTGTAAAAAATGAGAAATTAACAGTTCATTTCAACATATCATCCACCTGTACTCGTAAAGGTGCTTGTAAATTAGATAGATTTTTTGCGGACTTAAGGTAGTATGGCATGTGTGGCAAATAATGTGCAAATCAGATTATCCTAAAAATAGTGGGTCAAATTAAACATTGCTTCAATTGTAAACTGAGATGAGTTGTACTTTGTTGCATGATCTTTTCCAAGGGGAGGGTTGTTTGATATTGTCATAAATTCTCAAACTTTCATGCCCAGGTGTTGAAATCTTTTCCTTCATCATCTACTTTCATTGGTGTGAAAAAGTGCTTTTTGTCTCTCAGTCACACAAACAAGTTGGACTGAGATGAGTCAAAATCATCCCTTTCTCAATGTAATTCCAGCAATTATACATCTTGCACCTGCATCATGCCTCCCGAACTATTTCTTACCCCAAATAGATGACCACAAAACATTGCCAAAATTGACCACAAAACATTGTCAAAATTGACATAAAAACAGTCAAAGAGAAAATAACAGTCCATGCCAATTGTTGCACTTCACCAAAAACCTTTGATTATGAAAAGCCAAGCACTGAGAAGATTTTGGTTGTGTTAATTAAACCCTTCAGGGTTCTTTTGCTAAATCTTTGAGCATCTTAGGACAATCAGATTCTTTGGCACACTTGGGAAAAATTCCAAATCAAAAATCTTACCTCCCACAATCTTGACCCAGGACGTGCTGAGTACACAGTAGGACTGTCAGAGTTCTCTTCTTTAAAGAAACAACTTCCATATAAACCATCCCTGCAATTTTATTTAATGCAGAGCCTTTCATTGTTGCAAAAACAATTAAGCTTTGAACTGTTTCTTTCAATAAAATAATTTCACCTTTCAATACCAATTCTCACTGATAAAAGATAAACAATAAGTACAAGAAAAAAAAACCCCTCTAAAAACATACCTTAGTTTGACCCCAACTGGCACACAATCCAAACTAAAGAGAATAAAGAAAATTAAGTTTAACTTAGCTCTTAGTTGTTATTCTGGATGAAGGGGAAGCTTGCAGGTTGGGCCATGTCTGCTTGTTTCAGTCTCTTTGAAACTGTTCAACCTAACAACTTAAGTTCCTTGCATTTTTGTATCTTATGCAAGGATTAAGTAGGAGGTCAGGACTATTTAGGAAACAAATATTATAACATTGTGAACAACAAATAGAACCTAAGTTCCGTGCATTTTTGTATCCTATGCAAGGGACAAAGGTGGGAGGTCAGGACTTATTAAGAAGCGATTAATATAATATTGTGACTTAAAGTTCCATGTATTTTTTGCATCTTACATAAGGGCAAAGGTAAGAGGTCAGGACTTATTAAGAAACTAATATAGAAGAATCAAATAGTAAAAGCTAAGGACCCAAACAGAACACTGCTGGAAAGAGATCTAGAGAGCAGGCAACTCAGCCAATTTGCTTCTACACTAAGCATTGGAACACCATCAGAAACACTTTTGAAATCCCCTTTAGGTTAATAGAGGCAGTTAAACAATCAAGGGTAGTAAAATCTTGACACTAAGTTAGTTTACCAAAACTGGTTCTTTGAGAATCCAAAGACAGAACTCCTTTCCTACATCCAACAATGTCATTTTATTACCCTCCTATGTACATGTACAAAGAGGTGTGCAACAAAAAAAGTGTAAACCAATTCTTTGGTGAGCAAACCTTTTCAGATCAACAACAGCAGTTTTGGTCATGGTGGACACAAGAAGTTTATCATTAATACAGTCCAGCTGAACAATAACAGTTTGGGCCTTGGCTACAATACCAGACGTATGTAGCAGAGGAAAGCCTTTGTTTACTGAATGTGGCATCTAGAAAAAAAGTACAAAATCATGGTATTTTCAATAATTATAAATCTGCCACTTAATTGCTTGCATGTAAATCTAAAAATCATCAACTATTTGCATCCTATCATCTGCATGGATTTTTCTTACACTATTCTCTATACACTTTCTGAGGTGTTGACAAGCAGAATTTGTTTAACAATCAGGAGCTTCTTCAGTTTGTGATTATTTCTTTTATTCTCATGACCTCAAGGCCTGATTTAGTTGTGATACTGTAAAGAGAAATTAGATGCAGATCACTCTCAAGGGTTAATGACTCATGGCATAACCTTCAGGACTGGTACAATGAGAGAAAATATGTCAATAATTAATTATTCCAACTTACAATCTTATGAAATTGAGAAGAAAAATTTCTTGGAAGGAGGAGCACTGACACAAACTAGTTAAAAATGTTTACCTTACTTACCACTGGTATATGAATGACACTCACAACACCATTAACATCACCAGCAAAAAGACGACATTCATCTTTATCCCAGCATAGTGCAGTCACAGTTGTATTCTTATGCTCTTCTGATCGTCTGATAAACTGTCAAATAAATATAAAAAAGGAACAATCACTTTTATGGTCCAAGGTCATAATTACATAGGTTCAGAACATGAATGAAAAATTGTAAACTTCAAGCTGGATATCAGTGCTCCAAACTACGACCATTTTGGTTGCAATGGCAAGTAAATTTGGCGACCTAATTTGATGACCTAAATTACTTTCACGCAGCAATTGTGGTCATAATTTAAAGTAGATGAACATTTGCATGTTCAATATTATAGATACCCTTTAATTTTCTTAACAAATAATTTGCCGTCTCCTCTTCTCTGTAGATTATTTCACTACTCTAGGTCACCAGGTGGCAACTTCAAAAGGTACATGGCTTGGAGCCCTGAATTTATCATGCCCTGACTGCTACACCTCTGAATTCCATTTAGAAGGTCCAGGACTCAAGCTCTTAATATGAATGTCTCTGATTTATGTTCTTAAGTCAGTCTGTTCCAGAAATTCAGATGAAAGGGAGTACAATAGGAAACTGCACAATAAAAGCCATGCAGTAAAAAAAAGGATTTAGGCCTGGGTCTGGTTGAAAAAAGAGAGGGAAGTCCACATCAAGTCACCCGACAAATGCACCATGACCAAAACCTCTTCCTATATCTCCCTTCACCACTACTGTTACACTGTTTACTATAACTGCACTCCATTTTTCTAGGCAGGTAGATCAATGTCAGTATGTGAGCAACTGAACACCCACCCCTCCCCTAGTCCAAAAGCAGTCAACTGAAGACAAGTTAGGGTCGATGTTGGGGAGGGGTAGGTGTGCAGTGGCTTAGATACTGGCATTGATCCAAAGAGGATAGTTCTTGAGTAAGAAACTATTAAAATGATATATTAAAAAGGAAAATTCATTTTCATGAACTGTACCTTTGGTTTTTCTCTATGTTTGGAACTAACTTGCAGGACAAGGACAATACCAGAACTGAATCAAATCAAATTAAATCAAGTCAGCACAATTGGCAATAACAATTAAAAATTAAATTATAAATAGCTAAAAATTTTACCCCATAGTCTCGGTAACTCATAATGAGATTGCTAATGAACTAAATAGTAATATCCTTTATACACCACCATTAGTATTCAAATTTTCCACACTGCTCTCCTTACATTCCCCATGGTACTGATAAGAAGAATTTGTTTGAATTGTTTAAATCATTTCCCTTATACTCATTATCTGTACATTTGATTCAAGGAAGATACTGTGAGGAGAAATTAGAAGCCAGTCACTCTTAGGAGTTGAAGGGTAAAGGTAGGGGAAATTTAAAAAAAATCACCTGATTATTGTCAAATCAAAAGTGAGCAAATCGTGCCGCATATAATTTTGAGAAAATAGGTCCTCTTTAACTTAGTACTGAAATCCAATTGGGCCATCAAATAATAATTTTTTTGCTGTTAATAATTTTCTCAGACAAAAATAGACAAGAAGCACCATTTGGAACATTTGTTGATACCTTGTTGCAACTCCCAAGAGACTGCGGCTTTGAGTGAAGCAGACAGCAAGAATAGGGCCATCCTATAAATTTGCAAATCGAATAATATAAAATAAAATATAAAGTATTGAAATAAATGTTTTGACTACAAAGTAGCTGATCTAAGATCCACAGAACAAATGTTTTTAGATAGTTTAATCATATTCTCTTGTGAAAAACTGTCACTGAGTTCAAGGTCTGTACTGTAGGTTATGGAATAGGTTTTTTACACTCACATTTATGCCATAATTCTGAGCAAAACATGAGGCTCCACAACTTACAGTATGGACCAAGAAAGAAAAAAAAAGGTCAGTATAAGATATTTGTTTTATCTCTGAGTTCAAATAAAAGGGGAAAATTGCAATCAAACCTTTGAATTCAGCAGGCTGAAAAGTGAAATATGGCCTGCTCATTGACCAATCATAGGACACACACAAACTAAGATATATAATACTACTCAGTAATGACAAAAATATAACTGTTTTATTAGCTGTAAACAAGATACTATTGTAATCCCAGGGTAAAGGCTACTGAGCTACTTGGAATATCAAGTCATTAAACTGGGAAGATGACTCACTCATTAATTAGGATCACCAAGTTGATGTGGAAATGTTTCAACTGGCCTTTGTGATATCCAAAATTTTCTTAGGAAGAACCTATGGATAAGAGGTACTCCAGTTGAACACTTACTTTGTTACTTATAAACCTGATGTGCTTCAGAGTCTTCCTGTCAAATATATATATGGCCCCCGTAGAAGAACCCATTGCTATGTATTTTTTGGAAGCCGCCATACATGTGTACTAGAAGAGATTTGCAAATAATACAATCAGCCTAATGAAAAGTGATATCTTGCCATTAAATAACACACCATGCAGGTGAAAACAAAAAGTTGGTCTTTAAGATCTGTTTTCCTCTAAGGGTGTTTGGGATTAGAGTAATTGGTATTTTTATCATAGTTGTTGGCAAAAGAAAAAAAACAACCTAGTTTTTTAAATAACCTTAAAATCAGCATGTATATTATCCATGCTGTTCTTTGTATATTTCCTAAGGTGCCACCAAGGAGAATTTGTTGAACAATCAAAGCTTCTTTAGTAGGTGATCATTTCTGTTATTCTTGAGATCTTAATGGTTGATTCAGGGGTGATACTATAGGGAGAATCTCAATGCTAATCACTCCTGGGGTTTAGAGGGATTAAGCCTTACAGGACTGTTTGGAACAGTTTAACTTCATTTCTATCTCTCTGTTATGTCTGTGCATCAGCATTCAAGCTAACTGGAAAGCTGCCTACTCAAAAACCTCTACTACAAAAATAACAACACTTATGAAAACAAAAGTCAATAACTACAGCTATTTCACCATAGCTACAAAAGAAGATTTTTCAGACACTGCATAGGAGGGGGAAGGGGGGGGGGGGGTTGGGTGGGAACAAGCTGGTACCCTCTCCTGATTTAAAAAAAATCGGTCTAATAAACGAAAAGAGACTTTCTTTTCTTAATTGGCATCCAGACAGAAGCCCACCCACCACTCACAAAACGATTCTTGGAGGAGAATTTCAAATTTTTACACCTAAACCAAACAGTTGTAAAGCACTTGGGTTTTAATCTCTAAGTTAGCCTTGTGCTTAGACAGTTTGTTAGAGACAAGCATAGTAAGGAAATAAATTCTCAAGACAGAACTTGAGAGAATGATATATATGATCTGCTATTTCATTTCTGTAGTTTCATGTAAAATCTTAGGCAAATAAATAAATTCTATTATATAACATTACTCCACATACCTTTATACGAGGATACGGCTTTATTGGGGTTTGCAGATCTTCCATGGATCCCATTTCGGTTAGCAAAACTCCATATTCTCCAACAACTGTGCTCCATCGAATCACCTCTGCAGCAGCCATTTTTGTTTGAATCGAGTAATCCGAAGGACTGGGACTGAAACGTCCGTATACTTTCGGAAGTCATTCGGAAGTTGACGGTGAATGGCGTCAGCTGACGGGAAAGCTTTGGTTAATCTCGAGCCCAGGCAGGGTCATTTTGGCTCCTTATCAGCGGTAGGTCGCCAAATAAATAAATCACTATTGACGTTCCTGGGATTAGTTGGCGACCATACCGCTGACAAAATGACCCTGGGCTCGAGATCGATTAGGTAGCCGAAAGCAGCAGTGAAGAAGGAATAGAAAAGCTCTGGAAAGCAGACATTTTCTGACAAGGACTTAGGATAACTTGGGAAATATTTTCCTTTTGTGGTTGTACTTTTCAAAGTAAATACTGCTACGTTTTTCGCTAAAGAAATTGAAACAAAATAGTCCGCCGAAATTACTGAATAACCAGGTGGCCTAGTTAAATACGGACAATACATAGTTATTTCCAATTTTACTCGTTACAGGCGAAGTCTCGTGACAAAGCTCATGCCAGTCACGTGGTCTAGAGTATATAAGGACGTCATTGGCATATTTCTTCCCTCACCCTTTCTTTCCGTGCGTGTGGAATAGGCGAAGACCATGAAATTTCTCGTGCTACTCGTAGCTCTGCTCTTGGTGAGCCTCTCGCAGGCTGCCCTGAGGTAAGATCATCATGAAATGTGTAAAATACGGCATAAATTTTGAAGATCGAATACACAAACTATTGTAGCTTTCTTCAACGCACGAGGAAGTTTGTTTTTATATGTTCTAGAACGAAATTTCGATTTCGCGATTGACGAATATCCTTCTCAGCTAATAATGCGTTTTTCACTGAGGAAATTACGTTTCGAAACTTGAAAATCGAAACTTAACGATCGAACCTTCAAGTCCTTGGCATTCTTAGTATACCAATATTGTCTATCACACTCGGCTAAAAATACATAAAGCGTTTAAATAAAATAGCATTGTGTAATTTTCTGCTCAGTATGGTGTGAAAGAGAACCACCCTCGATTGATTTGAGCTAAACCAATCTATCAGAATTTTAATAACCGCTGCAGTAAGTGGAAAAGTACTTCTTTAGTAAATTCATGATTTCATGCTGTGATTTGGGAAATTTCCTAGTCCTTACCACCTGAAAACCTTTTTAGGCTCCAAGTTATTTTAAGCTTCAAAATTAAGAAATGAAATGAAAATAAGGGATAATTGAAACTTCCTAAGTGCAATAACAAAACTGAAAAGTTCTATGGGAATCACACAAATCTCCTGGGCAAGTTGTGGTACTCTCTTGTCTTGGTTTTAAGCAAGAAAAAATGTTTATTCCAACTTTTTGAGGGGTAATTTGATTAAAAAAACACGCAAATGTTTAACTAGTTGATATGTGTACAGTTGCTCATAAAACCATTGAACACATAGATACATCACTCACAGGAATAAGTTATTAGTAGTCAATGAAGAATTTTCAGTACCCAGCCACAGAAAGTATCCTCCAGCAAAGGTTATAATTTATTTCAGGACAACACATGTATTTTACTGTTTTGTCCAGTAATCCAGAGAAGAATACCTAGGGAAAACTCTGGCCATTGGGGCATCTGTAGAACATTGTTCTTTAAATAGGTCTGAGCAAAACTGTCACATGCAAGGGCTAAATGTGGATTATTTGCAGTGTTTTTTATACATTTTGTAAAATTTTAACTCTGTTAGATTAAATGTACTCTACAATACAGGAAACATTTTTTTCTCCTCTCTTCTTATTTACACCTTTGATATCCTAAGCCTTTAAATCTTAAGGGTGATCATCATCTAATTTCTCCTTGCAGTAGTAGTGCTGAATCATTGGTTAAGATCATGAGAATAAAGGAAATGATCACCAAGCTAAGAAGCTTTGATTGTTTAATGAATTCTCCTCGTTGTTATCAATAGAGATTTATGGAGGAGAGTATGGAGAATCTGGATACTGATTTTAGAGGGAAAAGTTTCTCTCTGTTACATGTATCTCTGTCAGTGAAAGAGTTAAACATTTCTGAATTCTCCATTTTACAGTTGTGTGCTTGGTTGCCAAGCCTTTGAACAGGAGTGAGGCTAAGGGTGACCTTGTTATGATACAAACCTTGCTGCTTTTGAAATGCAAATTAATTTGTTATCATGCTAACTAGATTCTAGTCTCTAACACAACAAGGTCACCTTCAGCCTCACTCCAAATCAAAGGCTTGGCAACTAAGCACACAACTGTAAAATGGCCTATTCTGCAATGTTTCTGTGACTGTCCATGCTTATTGAAATTTAATGTTTTTTTTTCTTGTAGAGTGCCATTGCACAAGTTCAGGACTGTCAGGAATTCTTTAAAAGATATTGGCATTTCTGCTGAAGATCTACGGAAGAAAGCACACCTAGACTTGAAGCACAAGTACTCAGGGGAGTATGGTGGTCCAGAGCCTCTTTCCAACTATCTTGATGCTCAATACTATGGAGAAATCTCAATTGGAACTCCTCCACAGCCTTTCAAAGTGGTCTTTGACACTGGTTCTTCCAATTTGTGGGTACCCTCTAAAAAGTGCCCTCTGAGTGATGTCGCATGTTGTAAGTCATGGTCAAATCTAATCCATACATCTACATTGTACCTATTGTTTAATGCTGGTAGAAATGCAAGGCTGAACTAGAACTACTCATGCACATTGTGTTTGAAAACACCATTGCAATTACTTCTGATAGGAACTAAACCCAATTTAGACAATGAGTGTATTGAAATCAAAATCTTGTAGTTCACCCCATGGGGAAAAAAGGAGGTGAGAAAAACCTCTGGCTTTTCACAGGCTGATCTCTTCTCCTACACTTATACTTTCATCTCCAGCTTTCTATAGCAAAGATTGCAGATTACTTATCTATCAACAGATGCTGGCAATCTTAAGTTTTCTCCTGCTTTCCATTCTTTCCTTTGTAGTCAACATTTCCTATCCATCCTCATCTCTCAGGTCTTTGACTATTTCCCAAACACTTCTTCATCTAATACCCCAAGGAACATATCTTGGTTGACAGGTTTATAATTACATCTGTCCTGCTTTGTTTCTTTTTTTATGTATTTTTTTTATCATCATTCCCTTCTTCAGTGTTGCACAACAAGTATGACAGCACCAAATCTAGCACTTATGAGAAAAATGGCACCAGCTTTTCGATTCAATATGGCAGTGGAAGTATGAAAGGATTTCTCAGCACTGATACCGTAGAGGTAATTAATGTTATAACTTAACTGGTGAAGTGTAATATTACCTTGAGTCTTAAGCTCTCATCTGTTCAGAATTAACTTTTTTCTATCCATTGTATTACTATACAATGCACTGGTTGGGTACCAATTCTAAACCATGTAACCAATTGTTTGGTTCAAATGGTGTTCTAGTTGTTAAGTGTCAGGGAAGAACTTTGATCACAAATGAATAAAAGAAGAAGGTAAGAATTTCATGGAGAAGATAACGTGAATATGTTGGAAATTCAACACTGTGATGCACTACCCTTCTGAAAATGTATTAGCTGAACTTGCATTTCAAATTCTCTTTTTTTTTTCCTTTTAATTTTGTTCCTGCAGATTGCTGGCTTAAGTGTGAAACACCAAACATTTGCTGAAGCCATGAGTGAACCAGGATTAGCCTTTGTTGCAGCAAAATTTGATGGAATCCTTGGTATGGCCTATGACACAATATCTGTGGATGGTGTAGTTCCAGTTTTCTATGATATGGTTCAGCAAGGCCTTGTGCAGAAACCAGTTTTCTCATTTTATCTGAACAGGTGTGTACAAGTAAATAGATAAAGAGTTGATGCATTTCATAGATGACGATGCTCAGGCAGGAAAGCCCATATCTGTAGATGAATAATTTATAATCACTGATAGTTGCCAATGAATCTGATTATAGTACATGCACATGAAGGAACTACTGTAACATGTTCTCTTGTGAAAATGATGGAAGAAAGCATAAAATAGGCAGATTTGAGTAATAACTTGTACTAAAACTGTGTTTCTGGGGAAAGAAAACCCATGGCCGTCTACAGACTTTAAACCTGTTATCTTGCAATTCTGCTGTGATGTTCTGCCAAGTGAACAATGGAATTAGATATTGGAATCTAGTCTTAGCTACATGAACAGCTGTACAAGTATATGTGAGTAATTCTGGTTAAAATTTGACCAGCAAAATACATGTATTTTTCATAATTCATGGGAAACGTGTATAGCATATGCAGTCCATCACCTCTGTTCTTCTTGTTGAATGATGTTGACTATTTTCTTTTTCTGATTTTAAGGGATCCATCTGCTACACCTGGAGGGGAACTGATCTTTGGTGGTTCTGACCCCAAGTATTATACAGGCGACTTTACCTATATTCCTGTCTCTAAGAAGGGATACTGGCAATTCAAGATGGACAGGTAGGCTCTTGGCTTTTGTGTACACAAACTTTACATATTTTTTTTTTGTTTTTCTATTTGGTATGTTTTTTTGTATTCTTACTCTTCATTCTTTGAGTAAAGCCATGATCCTTGCTGGTAAAGGTACATGTATAAATTTCATTTCAACTGTGGGTGGAAATCAAGAAAAGCAATGATTCTTGAAGTTGAACTGCGATTAAAGCAACTGCAGCTGGAATAGTCCATTTTACAGTTGGGTGCTTGGTTGCCAAGCCTTTTTTACAGGAATAAAGATAGGGTTGGCCTTGTTATAATAAAACATAGCTGCTTTTCAAAACTAATGTAAATTCCTTCGTCATCATGCTAACTAGATACTAATCTCTATTGCAATAATGTCACCTTCAGTCTCACTCCAAATCAACGCCTGGCCATGGAGCACACAATTGTAAAATGGCTTATTGACATCCTTTTCAAAAGCTGTGGAGCCTTACTAATTTATTAGTAAGGCTCATTTATTAGCTGAGGGCTTAAAGAGATTAAATAATTTGTTTCAGCGTGCTTGTGAATGGAGAATCAAGCTTTTGCCAGGGTGGCTGTCAGGCCATTGCTGACACTGGTACCTCACTTATTGGCGGACCTACTGCTGAAGTCGAGAAGTTAAATAAAATGATTGGTGCCAGTCCAATAGTTGGTGGCGAGGTAGATATCAGTGGTTATAATACATCAAATATTTTCATATGCAAGAAATTGATTTAAGTTTGTCATAATTATCAAATACACGCATTAAGCAGAAACTGGTGATTATCTGGGTGACAATGCCCAAGAAATCCAGTACAGTTCCTTAATTTTCAAACCTTTTGTCCAAATTGATGAAAGTTTCTGTGAAAAAATTGATACAAGATGGGGGAGCATTTTACTGTTCTTATTGAAGAAAAGAAAAACCTTATTATTAACAGTACACTGTATGACAGCAAACACTAATAAGTTCATATCTAGCATTGTCCAGTAAAGTGTTGTCAGTGGTAAGCTGTGCTCATTTAAATCTGAACCCCTAGGTAGAGGCCTGGGAAGAGTGAAGATTCTTTCATAAGGATAACCACAACAACTCTTGCCCGATCACCAGTAGGCTTACACATCTCTTCTGCACATGTTTGTGTGGTTTTTGTGTGAAATGAATCTTGTTCCAAATGGTTTCAAACAAGGTTGATTTCTATTTAAGGAAGCTTAAAGTCAAACTAGTTTGAAATCACTTTAAAGTATGGCACAAATTTCCAGATGGGTTACAAGGCATCTCCTATCTCAGATTACAAACACATTGTCAAATTGTTCAAAATGTTCCTTTTTTTGTATTTCAGTACATAATTGATTGCGGCAAGATTGACTCTCTCCCTCCAATTGACTTCGTCCTTGGTGGCAAGAAATTCACACTGACTGGAAAAGACTATGTTCTCAAGGTATGCATTGAGTGCATTTCTATTGAACAGTTAAGTTAGGAGCTCAAGATTCTATCATGAATAGAAATCAAAAGTGAATTATTTAATTGGTTTAGTATAAATCTTCTAGTCATTGAAAATGTAATTGAAAAGACATGCTCGTGTTTTTATATCTTTTGTAAATACATACACAGTTTAAGGCTGCTTACTTAACTCTTTATTTAGTACAGAGTAGGTTCTGTAGCAAGTTGCGCAGCTATTCAGACTGCAGCACTTAGGCTTGAGGGCTAGTACATTTATAATAGACCTGAACACCCTAGTATCAGTATGGATATTCTCCATACTGTTCTCTATATGTCCCCTAAGATGCTAACAAGGAGAATTTGTTTGACAATCAAAAGCTTCTTCAGTTGGTGATTGTTTTATTTATTCTTGTGATCATAGTGCTTGACTCAGCAATGATATTGTAAGGAGAAATTAGATTCTAGTCACTCTTAGGGATCAAAGGGCTAGCCAGGGAAATAGCTATGAGAATAGACACTCATCATAGCATCCAATCTTTAGTTTTGTTCTGTAATTTATGAAGAAATGTGCAGATATAATCTGCTCTTCATGAGGATTGAGGGTGAACCCGCAATTCATTACCATGATTGATCACGACAGAATCCTTTTTACAAGATCAAGCACACAAGTAATAAGCAAAGAAAAATTTAATTAGGAGATTATGATTTGACCTAACATTGAATTCTCCAAACTAACATACTAAGAATTGTAGGGCAGACAGCAAGGAGAATTACTGATCAGATCATGGGAGTAAAAGGGTTAAGGTGATTGGTGTTGGTTTTACTACCCTCACCTCAAATGCTCCCAGTAACAATTTCTTAACTGTTGGATAATTTTTTAAAATTTTTTTTTGCAAAGGTGACGGTCATGGGCCAAACTGAGTGTCTCAGTGGCTTCCTTGGTATTGACGTCCCTGTTGGCCCCCTGTGGATCTTGGGAGATGTATTCATTGGCCCATATTATACTGAGTTTGACCTGGGAAACAATCGTGTTGGTTTTGCCAAGACTAAGTGAGCCATTTGTGAGGACACCTCAGCCACTGACGCCTATGCACACATCGTTTTGTTTTAACACGTGAAGAAACCTTCTCAAAAAAATTTAAATCAGTGTGAAACTTTTTTGTTAACTGGATGGTTGCTTTGAAAGCCTATTTTTAGAAACTTTTGTAATCTTGAACAGAGTGTTTACAATGCTTTTATCACGTTGTTTACAATGTAGTCCTGTGAATTTTTGATAAATGATTTATAGATGAGTAGTGATAAATGAATGAATTTAGGAAAAAAAGTCTACTCGTAACTCTTGTAGAAACCTCAAGCGTTAAGTGATCTTGAGTGAGCGTCACCCCTAAATTTGACGAAGAAATATTTAAAAGGTCGCTTCAAGGCTCCCTAGACACATTTCTTTACTTTGAAACAAAGTGTAATCCCTTCCAGTTGACACTCCATCGCAAGTAGACCAAACCAACGTATTCCCCTCAAAACGTTTATTAACTCCATTATTTTTTTTTTACAATATCATTATCAAATTTAAGTGTTCCGATTCCCCGTCGACGCATCATAACACTTTCTTTTAAGAAAAACCCTTTCACTCCCAGAAGTGAGCAACATGCTACTAACATGTTACTCCCCATAATGCACAAGCGTTATCTGGGAAACAGTTAATGAGAATACTCAAACTTATCAGTTAAAAAGTTATCGTCGTGATCTAACATCAATTCTCCCAACTAATTTACAAGGAAATGTGTAGCATCTTTCCCTTAAGAAATTTTGTGGAATCCGTTTACGCAACCGGTCATAGAGGATCACTCTTTACACCATAGCATTGGGTTTACGGGGATTAAACGTCCGATCCTAAATCTAGCGAAAAAATCCTAGTACAGGCTTATAATGTAACCAATACTTAGACGATATTATGAACATTTTTACAAGTCTAAGAATTCTCCTGTTAACACCAGACACTCAAGTCAAGGGGAAAGTCAAATTTAACTTGAACAAGCCGCAGCCTGAGAAACACGAGGGTCAAATTTATTTTAAAATGATCAGTGGCTTTTAAAATAGTAAGCCTTGCCCGCGGGATGATGGTAATTGCTGCCTCGTCCCCAGCGCGTTGGTAAGGGAGCGCGAGGTGTATTGGGTATGGAAAAGTGGAATCGTGGATGGCATTATGCCGATCTTTTTCTTCCTTTTCTTCCTTAGGCGGTTTGGTGCAGTAGGCCATCAGTCCTGAAGCAACACTGTCTGTGGTTACAAATATCACACCACGTACTTAAATTCACACGAAAATTTCCTTAACGTATAAAAATAAAGCAGACGCAAGAGTGAGTTTAGAATGTTCACAACAGGTCTGTCACAGGAAACTACGTAAGGCGCTCTAATAAACTGTCAGGCACAGCGAGGGCTGAGATGAAAAGAAAGTAACAAAGCCTTAGAACCTTCGCACCCGTCGATGCCCGCTTTTTCACTTGTTTCGCACAACTCTGTCACGACTCGTTTCGAGCGTTACATGATCCCTGAGAAAACAGCGCTGTGAACATTCAGCAATCAAGTAAGACATTATGGCAGCGCAAATACATCTTTACATCTCTTCCGACTCGCCTTCTTCAAGAGCTACATCTTGACTGAAAAACACATGGTCTGGCTGCGGACCATCTGTAACCGTATCAGCTTGGTTTGCAATCTGTGGAAGGCGGGCTGAGGTTCTGGAAGCTAGAGAACTGGACACTGTATACTGTGTCAAATGGCCGGAACTGCAGGAACATCGTCTAGTAAAATCTATCCGTCGTGGCGAAGTTGCGGATTCACACTCCGATGAAGCATAAGTGGCTCGAGTACTCGTTGTCTCCTGGTAGCAGTTATGTGGGAGCACTGAGTAGGTATTTCCATTCCTTGAATTGCAAATTCGCTTGATGTACAGTATACTTCCAAAGCTACAAACAACTAACAGTCCAAAACAAGCAATAACATAGGGACCGCTGTTTCTTAAATCCTCGTTTTTTTTCAAATATTTCGTAACCTCAGGAACTTCAACGTACCAAGCCAGTATACAGAAAAGGGTCAGAATGGAGAATAATACCGCTAGAATCCCACAGCAGAGACATGGATCACAGGATGGATTGTAATTGCAAATGCAGCCGCAACAATGCAAGCGACAGCAGTCTTCTTGTTCCACTGGAGTGGTCGGTCTGCTCAGAGTTCCATATGGCGGAAATTGCAGTGGTCGATGGCTATCGGAACTTGATTCGAAATCTTTCAAAATTGCCTCTGCACTCTCATAATGTGTTTGAATATACTGCTTGATTTTGTGGACTAAATCTTTCCTTTTCGGCCTCAATGCTTGGATAATCTCGAGCAAGTGACGGATCTTTTCCGGTTCGCAGCCGATTAGGTTTTGTTGGCGTAGAATGCTGAATAATTCCCATCCACTGCTGATTTGCTCCTTTTGAGCACCTGGAATGCGATCTCCACAAATGTGTATTAAACATTGTAGATTTTTCTCGTTCAATTCATGATTTAGTTCGTTCAGAAGTATCTGAAATGGACTGAGAAACATGGTGGCTGCTTGCTTTTCGATCGGCGATCGCGTGATCACCCTGTGGTCGGCACTGGGTAACCTATTTTCAGTCTTGAATGAATGAATGAATGAATGTGTATTTATATACCGCACACAGTCTTGCACAGTATTCGCTATCTTCATATTGTGTTTACGTTACAAAAAATTGTGCAAGCAAAATCGTGTAACATTTCGAAAGATGCCTTCACTTAGCTGATGACTTACAGATAAATCAATAAATTCCCCTCGCAACGGCAGCAATGGAGACAACAGTTGCCGTTGACGTTTCGTGCGTGATCAACTCGTGATTTCATCAAACATAACACTATTCTCTGCCTAGCACCACCCCGAGAGAGAAACTCCTTGTCAGTGTTACCACGTTATTATAAAAATTTCCATCACAGAGAATAATTATTTTCTTCAGAGAAGACTTCATTTACCTTCCTTTTTTCCAAGTTTTCTTTTCTTTTATCTGACAAGCCAAAATTTGATACGCTTACGAAGTTCCTTTCAGTACCCTACCGCGGAGTGTTGGGACAAAATTCGATACCTGGGGAATCCCCTAACTACTGGGATGAGCGGAAGTCACTTCTGAGCTCTTCAGTTTTAATCGCCATTTGATACTTTGTTTCTTTCTTATTTAGTTATTCTAGATTGTTTCTTAGACATGAAAAAAAAAAAAAAAAATAATGAATATGTTCATAAAAGTAATACATATTAACCTTAGAGATGTACTGTGATACTGTTTTTTTTTTTTTTTACTCCATGATTTGCGGTCTTTGCCTCGTAAATTTAATTTCTCTCAGAATATATCAAAGCAATCGAAATTCTTGGAAAGTATAGAGTGCAACAGAATGGGTTAGATTTGTTTTATTTTTCTCCAACTTTTTCTGCTTGTTTCTTCAATAAAGTATGAGACTTCAAGTTTAGCAGAATTGGTAACTTTGCATCAACATATCTAACAAACAAAAGTTTGTAGTTTTAATTTTTATTAAAAGACACTTTTGGACTACCATGTGATATTCAACAGTTAAGCTTTTGCTGACTCAGGGATAAAACAATGATTGCATTTAGTTTACGGAAACAGAGCTAAAACTCCCAAAATTTCAAAGCAAAAACATTCATTCCTTTCACATGGTCGATCGATGTTGTTAATCCTTTAACTCCCAAGATCTCATAAGTAATTCTCCTTACTGTCTGCCATACAGTTCTTGTGATGTTAGCTAAAGAATTTGGTACTGGATCAATTTATAATCCCCTAATTTATATTTTTCTTTATTCTCATCACTTGTCTGCTTGATATTGTATTGATATTGTAAGGAGAAATTCAGTCTTGGTCACTCATAGTAGTTAGAGGGTTAACACTTAATTTATCAAATCACAGAAAAGAAATAGTTTGTACATAAAGCTGAATAGCAAACACATGAGATCTCACAAAGGTTAGGTTATTTAAATGAAATCTATCTTTAAGGTCGAGGAAAGATTTTTGACTGTTACATTTAATCTATTTTTGTTTGAATATGGCGTTTTCTCAGAGAATTATTAATACTGGATCCTAAGAATTTCCGCTCTATTCACCCCATATAAAATTACACTTAATCAACTATAATCCCTTCCATGGATCATTACACTTGTAATATTCTAGCAAATGATAACTGTCAAGCTAGCGTTCAAATAATAAAATGTATCTTTGAATCTCTTGTCTCTTCGCGCAGCATAGGTAAGCAAAGACTCGCAAGCATTAAGTCACACCTCTTCAATTTCGTCATCTTCTTCTACATCCATGCGCGGAGTCCAAAACGAGTCCGGTTGGAAGCCATCTGGAACAGCATCTGTTTCCTCAATGAGCCGTGGAGTACGGGAAGAGACTCTTGAACATTTAGAAGCGAGTGAACCGGAAGCTGTGTACTGCCCAGAACTACAGGACCTTCCTCGGTAAATCCGCCTCGGCGCTGCCGATCGGTATGAGTCGCCGGACCTACTTGTGCGTCTGGATTCTGATGTGGCAGAGCTTGTTTGAATATCGAATGTTGTTGGTAGGTCTGGAATTATATCGTACTGTCCGGCGTTTCTTCGTAAACGGAACTTCACGCAAACCGCACATACAATGCTGCTTGCCGCGAGGAATGCTAAACCGCCAACCGCAAGAGGACCTGCATGCTGTATCTCGTCGTCTGACTTCAACAATTTCGTAAGTCTTGGGATGCTGGAATACCATGCCAAAACAGCCACAATGGCCAAGAGAAAGAAAAGACCACCCAAAATGGCACCGAACCACATGCAACATGCATTACAACATGCATTGCAACATGCATTACAGCATGAATTGCCATAATCACATTTACAAAAGCACCCGCAACAACGGATAAGACAACAATCGTCGTCGCGAATCGGAGACGAGGATCGTGAGCTTGTGGCAGGAAGTCGTGTTCCCCTAGATTCCCAGCTGGACTGGAGGTCTTCCAGTATCGTTTCTGGATTTTCATAACAATCTCGAATATGCTTCTTGACTAAAGAGACCAAATCTCTCCTTTTAGGCTTTAATTCCTTGATGATCTCGAGCAAGTTATGAATCTTTTCCCGCTCGCTGCCGATGACGTTTTGATGGCGCAGAATGTTAAACACATCCCATCCACTAGAAATTCGTTCTCGCTGGCTGCCTGGAATATGTCTTCCACAAACATGTATCAGACTCTCCAGATTTCTTTCGTTTAGCTCGTGGTTAAGGTTATTTAAAAGTATCTGAAAAGGATCGAGAGCAGATTCAGCTGCCATCTTTTCAATCAATTGATCTTGAAAACGAAAGGACTCTGGCTCCCCCAGTAAAGATATCATTTGCAGATTCCAGAGATGTTTTGTACTCCCCGATATAAACTTCCTTTTAAGGGCTCAAATGACTATTTTGAAAGGTAATCATCTGCTCAACATGTCAATTTTGCCTTGATCTGTTGATGCTTCTTAATTATCACATGTTATTGTAAATCTGAAGTTCCGCTCAGTACCCCTGTGCGGTATGTCTAGCAGCGCTTCTTGGCTGCTTTCTGTCTGGGGAAATCACTGTTTCGTGGGGGAGGGGTGAGGGAGGGGTGAGGGAGAAGGAGAAGAGGAGGGAGAGGGAAGGGAGAGAAAATAAGACAGTCAATGTGGTGCTTCAATTCTAAGAGGTAAATTCATAAATGTTTATCTTAAGAAAGTGCTCCCAAAGTCTGAGATTAAAAGTTTAATTGATTGTACGAATAGGGATTGAGATCTAGCAGAAAATAATTCCAGCAAAGATTGGCAAAACAGGAATAAATCTATTGCCATTTCATGGAAAAATGACATTACTGGCTGCATACCGAGTCTTTGCACACGACTAAGCGATACTTGCGGCTGTATCAAGAGAAGAAAACGAACCGGAAGGGGTAGCAAGACAGGAACTGCGTAATCCTGCTCGTGCACACTCTGGTGTGCTAGCCTTCGAATTCGGTACTGCAGAGTTGTTGTCAGCGCCATGCTGAATGGATCTCCCATCACATATTTGGTTGTCTTCACGATCATTATTAAGACGAATATATCGTCTCGTTAAAAAAAAGCGGCAAATTGCCCCCAGAGCGCTGCAGACTGCAATGAATAGCAAGAACACAATAATGTACGGTCCGGCGCGGTTCCAATCATCGTTGGATTTTATAGAAGAGGTGACTTCAGGAATGTTGGCGTACCACGCCAGTACGGCTGCAACGGCGAAGAAGGCAAAAAGGACCGTCACAAATATAAGAAAGCTGCTGTAACAAGTGATCTCACAGCAAAAGCAATTGAGAACCCAGCATGGCGAAGAGGACCTAAACAGTGAAGTAGATTCTATGTTCAAGGCTACTTGGTTATTTCTCAAGGCTAGAGAGCTGTTAAGAGACTCGGATGCCCTTACTGAATCGAATATTTCCTCCGGTTGCTCGTAGTACTTCGCAATGTGCTTTTTAACCAGATGACTTAAATCCCGTCGTTTCAACACCTTGATAATCATCAGCAAGTTTGCCACTTTCTCGGGTTCGTCCCCGATTATGTTCAGCCTTCGGAGATGGTTTAAAAAGTCCCAACCGTCTTTGATTCTCTCACGCTGACCACCCGGAATCCACTGTGCACAAACATTTTTCAAGCTCTGAAGATCTTTTTCCTCCAGTTCGTTGCTGATGTTGTTTAAAAGAATCCGAAATGGATCCAGACTAATCGCCGCCATTTTTTTATTCCTTTTCGGGTTGCGTCACGCTGTTCAGATATTTGAGTGCAGTTCTTTCCGCGCACGGATTTTGTTGTTATTTGTGTTATTGATGTTACCTCAACAAGAAACGCTTCGAATAACACATAAAACAAAGATTTGCTGTCCTCTCAGGTAGTTGGAAGGAAGTAAAAATTGGACGTATATCGACTGGCTTTCCGGGAATCGCGTGACTATCCAAGAGTATCATAACTGTGAACACGTCCCGTGATTAAAAAAAGGGAAGATTGCGTAATAACGGTCCCGGCGAGAGAGGTGGTCACAGGTTACTATTAGGGAGGGGTGGGGGGATTTTCAGTTTGTCCATTTGAGTTCCGTCGTGACATGAATTTAAATTAAACACTTAGGAGTTTAGACAATAGTCAAGCTGTGAGTTACCCCAGCAGTAAATTTTCTTGTAGATTTGAAAAGGCTCGCTATGAAACCCCATGAACACATTCTTCTTGATATTGTAACAACTTTGAATCTCAACAATGTCAAATGTTGCCAAAAGAACTTCTCACATTCGCAAAGTCATTTATTCAAATCCATCTGCAGTTAATTTGGATCAATATCAGTATCTGGGCAACTGCCCACCTACCCCTCCCCTAACCAAACAACAATCTATTAATAACAAGTTAAGGTTAATGTTGGGTTAGGGGAGGGGTAGGTGGACAGTTGCCCAGATACTGATTTTGATCCTTTTCTATTCCTCTCCCACGCAGCACAACAGTCTTTTCACGATGTTATATCTAATATACATTTTAAGAATAGTTTCTTTGACTAAAAGATAGTCTACCTCACAGTAAACATAAACCTAAACAAAAGAATTCCTTGTTACCCTTTCCTATACATTCCTCATACTTCTTGTTTGCAATCAGGGGGCGCAACCTATGTTTTCAAAGGAATATCAACTTACAAGGACCTAACTAATAATTTTGAAAACTTAAAAACGTTTATTTCTCGAACTATGAAAAACTGTCTGCATTAACCCTGTAATTCATGACAAAATTCAAGACAGAATTTCTCCTTCCAATATCTCTACAATATCAAGCAGACAAGTAATGAGAATAAAGAAAATATCAATTTTGTGAATTGTTCGTTGATCCAACATCTAATTCTCCAAACTAACATCATACAAATTGTATGGCGGTCAGTAAGGAGAATTACTAATGAGATCTTGGGAGTGAAACGGTTAGGGGCCACCCAACTACAAAGCCTAAGGGAATATCAACAGTTCCCTACAAAGCTCATCAATGCAGTTGACCCTCTCCCCTCTCTCAAGATTTCCTTTAGCAATTTGTTAGGTAAATTTTCATTAAAAGGTGGAATGGACCCTTTAAAAACACAGATTACTCTCACGCCCGATGGGTTCGATCCGAGATCGAGAGCATAAATTATAGTCTAGACGCCCACCATATAATAAGTAACAGCACACAGACGGGGCAAATACGCAGCAGCTTAAACAAGTTGATGACCACGTTCACCTTGAACAAGCCGTGGCTTAAGTTAGCTACGGTTTGTGCGAGACGAAGGCTTAAACAAGCTCGTCTCACACAAGCTAATCTTTGTTTGAGACATAAAACCGAGATCCTAAAGTTAAATCTTATTCCTAAATAAAAGAGAGAAAGGAAAATCTGAAGAGGAGAAACCAGTATGGACGATATCCCAATGGTTCAGTTCACGGACAGCTGCCATGCACATCTAATAAATTATAGGAACTAGAACAAGTAAATAAAATCATGTTTTGACCATTACACTTTCACCAAGATGGGAATAGATTTGCTTACAACTTCGGTTAAGTTATCTAAAACCAACATTTTGACGGGCTTCCGTTACTCAAGTAACTACTTGCGTGACATGAACGTAACATGAACGCGAGGTGAAAAAATTAGCAGCCTATTATACTAAGTTTCAGTCTACTGTGGCGAAAACATGTTGCTTGGTGCGAAGGGCCAAACAGTTACCTCTCCCCCTGTGTTATTCATCCCTGGGGGATTAAGGAGGGAGTGAACGTGTGGAAGAAGGATCGATGCCCGGGGTGGGGGGTTGGGGTGAGAGGGAGGGCTTGCCACCACTGGGGGCATGAATGGGACGTCTGTACTCTCTGAGGAAGTAGGAGCCAACATTCGAGAGATGACAACTTGTTGATGCTGTTGAACGGGTATGGCGCTCAGATGACTGCCTTGAGAGGTCGTTGCTTGGGAATGTAGGAGACTCGGTGAAGATGTGCTAATACCTCGGTGCAAGGCGTTGTCCCGTTCACTAGCCTCGTAAGATGTCCCGAGAACTCTTCCAGTGTGTGCGATCGTAGAGGCATTCGCATTTGCATGAAGGCTAGGTGCGCTGACGGTTTGTTGCGGCTGGCTGCGGAGAAAGCCTAACACCACTTGCATCATAGGAGTGGGAGAGCCACTGACTGCGGTGTTCAAACTGTTCAATGGCGTTGTGCTGTATAAAGGACTCGGGGTGTTCAGAGGTGTGCACGAGGCTAAAGTTGTCTGAGAGCTTGCATTGCTCAACTCGACTGGCCTGTCTCCCGCCTGCGAGCTGTCTGCAACCTCGTCATGTTCACCGTCATTGGGTGTCTCATCGGTGACCGTTTGACCGGGTTCGCCTTCTCGTTGCTGACCTTCCTGGTTAGCATCGGCTCTCTCTCCTGATTCAGCTGGTGCGTTCTTTCCCTTCTTCTTTCTGCGTCTAACAAAACACATTAGACGTTTTAATACCTTACTGTCAATTCGTCTGTGCAAAACCGTTTACAAAGTTAGAGACAACATGTCGCCCAAAGTTTAAATTCTTTTTCAATCACCCAACGTTAAAGAATACCGTTAAAGCCACTTTCTAAATTTGTTGCAAGAGAACAACATCTGAAATGGTTAGCTCGCAGTGTTATAGTGGGAAACAGTTGTTCAGAAAAGCTTCAAAGTAGTTGTGACTCAAACCGGTAAAGAAGACAGAAGGAAACGACTGGAAAACTATAATGACTTGAAGCAACTACGACGAATGTGATGGATAATTGACGATACACAAGCCTGCAATGATCCCTGGTCTTAAAGCTACACTTGAAAACATAATTATAAAAATAATTGTAGTAGAAATATAGGCAAGCTTAATGGGCCATGACTTTCAGGCATCGTTCATCTAAATCACCACAATAAACGGAGAAATTGACAAACCTTGTTCTTCCTTCAGCGCCATCTTCATGCCAACGTTTGAGATGCTTTTTAAGGTTTCCCGCTTGGGCGAATCCTTGTCCGCACTGTTCACAGGAAAAAGGTTTGTCTCCAGTGTGTGTGCGACAGTGCATAGCAAGACTACTGGGACACAGGAACGCTTTACCGCACAGGCTGCAGAAATACTTCTTTTCGCGACTTTTCTCCTTGGGACGCTGTTCTTTGTTGTGAACAAACCTAATGATCAAGACAATACATTATGGCCCTCTTTTAACTAGCCTGCAGTGCAGGCGTCTTATTAAGGCGAGTTAATGTTAAGAAGCGCGCGATCGTTCACTAAAACGCCCATGTTTGATTTTGGAGTTGGAGTCGACGGTTGGGGGAGAGGGCGAGGAAACGCGAAACTATTCACTCCCCAACCCGCACCCTCTCCCTCTCCTTATTATTTATTGCTGCTCACACCCTTGGTACAAATTTCTTTCATTTCTCAGTCTTCCACTGTTGTTAAAATCAAAGATGGCGGTCATTTTCGCTACGAAAATACTGAGCACTCGCTCGTTGAAATTCCGCCTGCTCTGCTGGCTGTCTTTTAACTGCAAAGTGGGTTTCTGAATTAAACCCGAGAGAAACTTGATTAAGCCGTCAAGAGCACTTACTACCGAACCATCTCAACTTTTAGGCATCTCGGAAACTTACCTTATGTGTTTCGTTAGATTCCCTGGCTGGCTGAAACCCTTTTCACAAACAGTGCACTGATAAGGTTTCTCTCCAGTGTGAGTGCGCATGTGCGATTTCAAGTCAGACGGTCCCGGAAACATCTTGTTGCAACGATCACAGGCATATTTCTTGGCGCCCCTGGGGTTCATCGAACGACCTTCCACCATTGGACAACGTTTACATCTGAGGACGACAAGAGTACACAAATCGGCTGATTGATATACTGACAGGGTAATTTGGCATTATCAAATGAGTTGATAATAAAAACTGACCACCGTAAAGAGTTTCAAAGTTGACGTTTCGAGCTTTACCCCTTTGTCAAAGCGACAAACGGAGGGCTAGAGCTCGAAACGTCAACTTTGAAACTCTTTACGATGGCCAATTTACGTTATCAACTCAATGGATAATACTTAATTACCCTGTTATACTCTCCCACCGACGCAGAACCACAGTTTCTTTAGAAACGCACTCCCTTTATGATTGATATATTGACAGATGAATAACCTTATTCATTCGACTGACTGAAATACTGTTGCACAATAAAAATTTAACTCAAATAGTAATACTAACATTGATGTAGCTGACACGTGGACTGACCGGCCGCTGACTAACTTACTGTCTACAGTTATCACAGCTTCTGGGGAGACCATTGTTCCTCATCGGCAGCAAAAGGTGCAACTGGACAGATTGACTGCTTCAGTAACTGCACTACTGAGCCACGTGTTGACGTGACTCTTTTACAGGAAGACTGACAAACGACTAACTATCCAAATATATAAAGAGTCTCTTATTCCTCGCAAAAACAGGTATAACAGTGAAATAATAAAAAATTACTTATAGTTAACAGGCAACTTTTAAAAGCATAGTTTGATCATTACTGGAACCCACAGGCTAAAGGAACCGAAACAAAGCCAGAGAAAAAGACACCAGACTTGCTAAACAATGCGGTATTGTTACGCAAGACGGAAACTAAAATTTCTACTCACGTTACTTACGGGAAATAACGTTTCTTTTGTTGTTGTAGTAATTGACTTCCAACTAATCCACTGGCTGCTCTTTCACTAATTGATTGTTGATCCAATAAGCCATTTCCGAATAACCTTTGGCTTCCTTTTCGAAACGAGGCCTGGTGCTCAACTATTCGTATAAAATTGAGTTTAATTTGAGTGTGAATGAAAACTTTTAATAATATGAATGAATGAGCACCAGGACTCACTTTGAAAACGTGGCCAAAGATAATTCGGAAATGGCCTATTTTGTTCCCAGTTCACCCTTTAACCCACCTGATGTGTTTCCGTAAGCCAGACTTCTGAACAAAGTCTTTTCCGCAAAGATCACATTTATAGGGTTTCTCTCCGGTATGGCCCCTGTAAAGACGATCAGTTGAAAAAAAAATCTTTTAATCATTCAGAGGAATCAATCAAAACATTTATCATTACACGAGGTCAATGAAGCCCGCAAGAGTACTTGAAAAGGGATCAAAGCAGCTCACAAAAATGAACGTTGACTTTTCGAAAATAATTTTTGGCGGAAAGCTATGAAGGGCCATCATGTAGTCTCTTTCGATTTGGATCGCTACGTATCCCTCAGGCGATGAAAGTCGGCAGATTACGCTTAGAAACTGGTCAGGGAGGAAAGAGGATATAGTAGCGTCACCTCCCCCCACTCAGGCTCTGTAAAACTCTTAGGATCCCCTATATTGGCAGTCAATTTTCTAC